AGGACTTTAAGCAATTCTTTATGCAGTTTGGCCGTGTTGTGGATGCCACTCTTATGATGGACAAGGACACCGGACGTCCCCGTGGATTCGGTTTCGTCACCTTCGACGGCGATGCTGCCGTTGAGAAGGCTCTCTCCCGTCCTCTTGAGATTCTGGGCAAGCCAATCGAGGTCAAGAAGGCCCAGCCCCGTGGCAACCTGCGTGACAACAACGATCAACGCGGAGGCCACCGCAACGGAGGATACCGCGACCAAAACCAGAACGATGGAGGTCAGCAGCAAGCCCCTCAGCAGGGACAGGGTAGTTCGATGACTCCTCAAATGATGGCCCAATACTGGCAACGCATGCAGCAGTACTTTACCATGATGCAGCATCAGATGGCCGGTCAGGGAGGAATGCCTGGTATGAACATGGGCGCTATGAACATGAACCCCGCTATGATGGCCCAGATGCAACAAGTGCAGCAGATGCAGATGCGTCAGCAGCAGCAACAGCAAATGGGTGCCCAGCAAGGTGCTATGAGCCCCGGCCCTCAGAGCCCTGGCTCCCAGCAGGCTATGCCCAACATGATGAACCCGGCCATGATGCAGCCCAACCAAGCCGTTGCTGCCGGCGGTCCTGCCAGCGATTCCGCCAGCCCTGTCCCCAATGCCGTTGCCATGGCCGCTAACTACAACAACGGAACTCCAAACTCAGCCAGAGGACAGACTGGACCTGGATACAACGCGACCGAGCAGATCGCCTTCGAGCAGCAGAAGTATGAACAGCAGCAGATCAGCCGCTCGATGGATCCTCGCGGCTTCTCGCCTTACCAGCAGCAGGGTGGCCCAACCTCGTGGGAGGGCATGTACGATGAAGTTCCTCAACCTCACGTTCCGACTGGACCAGCAGGTATGAGACGCATGGGAAGTTCGGGTAGTGGTATGTGATTCTTACGAGTCTTTGCATATTGTGTCCCTTTCATCTCAATTCCTTTCCATTCCTATTTTATTTGCGCACATCAACTAACACGTCTTTCAAACAGGAACCACTCCTCAGCCCCAGAGCACTGCTCCCGCCAATGCTCCCACTGGACCCCGCAACGCCGGCAAGCCTGGTGCGAACTACCGTGGCGGCGGCCGAGGTGGACACCGTACCTTCCACCCTTACCAGCGCTAAAGTGCTCGTTGTTGCTCCTTCAAATGATGCATCTAGTCGCTTCTCGTTCCAGATACGATTTCGTTTCTTTCATGTGTTTTCTAAGTCTTTTTTTACCTGAGGCCAGCGATTTTGGGCCTCATGGATTGTTAATTACGTGGCCGCCAGCCGCCAAGGTGACGTGGAAACCCTGCGAGCTGGTTGTATTGACAATTTCCATACCCTTTGACTTCACTCTAAGGTTATCTGGTCCGGTGCTTTCGTGCTTTTGTTCGGGGGCGCTGACGTTCGAGAATCAAGCCTGGGTCGAGGTTATCCGTGATAAGCGGGAAGGGAATTGTTCGGTGATCGGTGAAAGCGAGTCTTCAACTCTTGTTCGGGCTCGGTGATACACTACTTTGTGTTGTGGAGTTAGCCTCACAATCAAAAGCCGAAAGTGTTCATTCAAGTTCCGTTGTAGATGGTCCCGTAGGCGGAGGTCAAAGGGCGGAGACGAAGAGCGAGGGTTCTCATTGATGGATTAAATAAAAATGGTCGACAAGACTCCCCAGCCATGCATGATAGGTAACTTATTTATGCGTGGCCAGCGCGACAGTCGCCAACCAAACCAGAGCTATTTTGAATATTCAAGCTACTGTCTCAACCAATCGGTACTTGGGGATGAATTTCCATATGCTTTTGAGCTCAGAATACTCATTTTTATAGCTTGGTGATCACATTGTTTGTATGGGTTGTCTTTCAGATAGGGCCACGCAATCCACGTGACTCAGATGATTGCCAGTTGGCATCGTTCAACCAGTTCACGGATCTCTTAGGAGGTTTGCTAGGCATTGTCATATACCTGAACACCGACTTTCCAACATATGAAGGGAAATGTACTATTAGGGAGTACGAAGGGACTTCTTCACGAGTCTGTTCAGATATATGACTCCACTCACTCTTATCGCTTCCACCATGCATTCCCATGTTTCTGTCTATATCTTTGTGTCATCTAAGGCATCCAAGTTATATATAGTGCTTAAGTACATGAGATTATGTTTGAATACTTTATACTGAGAAGGATAGAATACTCGAACTCAACCTCGGACTGTGGTTGGGACTATTTTCCAACAATATATATAGTAGTCAATCATAAGAGATCCATTGGCCGCAATGTACTCGTCTCATCAGGATTACAAGACTATGAGTGCCACAAAATGATTCTTCGGAAATCCAACATGGAAGAAATGCTCATCAATTGCAAGCGGTAATATAAAATGATAGATGGTAAACATGGTAATGAATGAGGTATGTATGAAGACAAGATAAAAGAAAGAATGAAAGTGATATCACACAAGAAGATGCATCTAAAGGCGGGAAGACCAGTAAATTCCCAGCCGCCATTTTCAAGCACGCTAAAATCCGTCAAAAAAAAGTAACTCCCAAGCCACAGCGCGCGTGCCCGATCCAAGAATATCGAGAAGAAAGGTGAGAAACATGGGAGACAGAGAGGGAGAGAGAGAGAGAGAGAGAAAAGAATTGTAACGTCATATCAAGCCTGTGACGCCCTTCGTTGGTTGTTTTTTATTGGTTTTTATTTCTTTTTTTTAATATGCCATCCCGTAGCCCGGGGCTGCAGGACGACGGCCTTCGAGAGAGCTTCGCGAGTGGCGGCTGTCGGGGCTTGAGCTGCGCGCGTGCGCCACGCCGTAGTCGTTATTGACTAGGCGGTCGCGTTCGGTGTTACCAGGTGATCCGGCCCGCTTGGGCTCGTCTCTGTAGGTCTGGTAGGGGCCGGTGAAGTTGAAGTTGCTCATCTCGGCGTATTGCTTGCGCTGTGGGTGTTCCATGAGGAGCGAGTCCCGGGCGTCTAGGGGAGTGAGGTCGTCAATGTCGCGGTTTGCTTTTTCTATAAGAAAGGGACGGTTAGTATATGCACATGATGGGATGGGACGTAGCTTTGACTTACCAGCTTCTCTTCTCCGCTTAGCATGTGGGTTCTCACGGTAGCAGCTGATGAAGGCGTTGACTGCAATGAGGATAGCGAGGACAGCAGTGAGAGTAGACTGTACGACAATGAGGACAATGCCGGTGACGGTCTTTGTTGTTTGAGACATGCCGAGCTCTTCAACGAAGACCAGAACGCAAGCAATGGACAGAACACGGATGACCTGAACGGCGATGTTGATGCCCAGTGATGCCTTGGTGGCATATGGGCGGCTCCACACCAAGAGTCCCAACAGAAGGACTTCGCAGGCAAGCTGGCCGGCGCTTTGGAACAGACCGTGGCCCTCGCCACCTGCGATGATGCAGCCCTTGACCAATGCGTACATAATGACGGGGATGAAGATCCACCAGAAGTCCTTCTTGTAGTTATCGTAGAACAGACTGTATTTTTTCCAGGTTTCTTTATCTTCGTACAGGCGGGAGGTATCTCCCTCGGCCTTCTTGTACTTGCGAGCCATGTAAACAATGCGAATAGCAAAGAAGAGAAGAAGCGCCGTGAATAGAGAGAGGGTTATAGCTGCTAGCAGCTTTGCTGCCCACGAGTCACCCTTTCGAAGTTGGTAGACACAGTATAGCACCCAGATACTGTATAGCACGAGGATCATGTTGGTGATTGTCCGTGCCATCATGCCCCAATAATCCTTCCGGAAGTCAGACAGCTTGTTAGGGAAGTTTCCATACAGCGCCCACAGTTCCAGGATGACCTTCATTAAAAGAATACCGACGACAACCACCGCGATAACGATGGCGAAGATCACGAGGATAGTCATGAAAACATCGGCAGAAGGGACCATCAGTTCTTCAGCGACTTGCTTCAGGTCGGTGATTTTGCTGGTAGATGTACTTTCAGTGCTTGAGCTGTTCGAAACACTAGCATCAGTAGAAGTGTCAACCGAGCGAGCAACCATCTCGCCGAATTGGATGGTGTACTCCCAGCTCCGTTTCGTTGTGTTGGTGGAGGATGAGCTACTTTGCGTCGTGGAGGAATTCAACAAGAACTCATAGCTTTCATCGGTCAAGTTACCACCTGTGGCCGCCCGAAATTGGTCGATGGACTTCATCAGACCAGGCCAAGGGATCATACCAGTACTCCACATGAAGTTGGAGGAGAAGCTGCGATAGACGGAGGGGTAGGCGACACTAAGCATGCCGTTGGTGGCCATGGAATGGAACCAGCCCATTACATCGCCAAATCCAGGGCTGGAGGACGGTGATCCAACAGTTCCCGCCGAGCCGATGGCAGAGACACCGCTCAGTGCCAGAGCGCCTGCCGCAATGCCTGCCGAGACGTATTTGACCGCAGCGACGTTGGTGGTGTGGCCGTTAGTCAGTTCCGACTGAATGCACGCCAGGTTGCTCTGGCTTTGCTTGGATTTCAGGACAAGCTTGGCCTGACCATCCAAGTCGGGCATGGTGAATGCGATACCAGGGATTTGACTGGCATATGCGGACGGGACGTCCATGGACCCAGTGGCCTTGAAAGAACCCTTGGGGACGGGGCAGAGTTCCGCGACATGAATGTCATCGCCGCAGGGATCAAATTCTTTACTGTAGAGTTGGCTGCCATAGGCAGTGACGGTGATAGTCGCCGACACATTCTGTTCCATCGCGTTAGTACCAGCCAAGTCGAAGACAACTACTCCAGTAGAACGAGTGTAGGTAACATCCATCTTTTGGACGTTGATTGCCGAATCGGTCATGCATAGGTCGAATCCGTCCGTAGATAGGACGTCGCTTGCCAGGGCTTGAGGCACCATGGCCAGGCCTAGCAGAGCCCAGATGAAGTTCTGCATGTTGGCCAAGCACAATTGATGTTTGATAGGTGATACCAATCTAAATCTAACGGTTTGAGCCAAGGAGGCGCGTAGTCATCAAGGATGGAGGGGATCGACTGGCGCGATGATCGGACGGGTTGTAAGGATATGTGGAGCGACTGTAGGTAAGTCACAGGGGGGAAAATTCCAAAGGAAAGGCAGGATCAACCCGCGAAAGAAATACAAAGATAATAATAATAATAAATGAGTCGAGAGGGTCGCAAGGACGAGGCGGCTGTGAGACACTGGTTTTCGAGCAACCAGGAGCTGCAAACAAGTGAACGAGAGACGGTGAAGGAGGGTGGTAGGGGAAGCGACTGGAGATTAGTGAATGGAATTCCCCCTCTCTCAATGCGATGATCTGTGAAAGAAGAAAAGAGAGGGAAGTCTCGTAGATTACGACTTTGCGATTAGTCTCAACTTGGCCCCTGAATTTTGAGACTGATTGGCCTCCCGTTTCAGTCTAGACCTAACACTCGGCATATTACTATTTTCCATTCGGCTTGGTATTTATATCTTAATGCCATTACCCATGTTATTATCCCGTCTCTATTATTCCCAACGATCATTATAATCCTGCACAAATCTGATCTGGAAAGGCGTTGAAGTACACCAACACAGTGGAAGCTCATATTTAAAGCTTTCGTCCAGACCGTCCGACCCAAGGTTTGCCACTCATGTAACCATGGTTCCAGCCTAGGAGGTAACCCGAAGGAGTGGCGCTAAAGTTCTCCCGGTCGCCCACACCCATGGAACGCATTCCTCCACACCAATCGAGGCACAACAACGCCACACCAGCCACACGGGATGCCAAATTGCCCCTAGCGCGTGCGAATTATGATGAATTATGATTCGACCATTCAAATTAACAATGTTTTATTACGGAGTATGGAGTATGCTGGTGCAAGGCGGAGATAGCGGTATGTACCTGCAGAACCGAAACATAACGACCGAGTATAGACTCCGTATCTATGGTCCGCTTCTTCAAGAATCGGACATCCCTATTAGTGCATCTTGTGTATGAGATGTGCCCCGCGAGGGGCAGGTGTTGCAGCCTGATGGAAGAAAGCTGTAGGGCTTAAAACTGGACCGCCGATCGAAGATCCTTGCACAATCCCAGTCCTAGACAGTGGACCCCTTACAGGGTTCTGGATGGACACATACACACTGTTCTTGGAGAAAATCTTGCCATACTGCATGCCACCAATCGAGTCCGAGCACTAGAAATCCTACACATCTCCGTATGAACGTATAACATAGAATTTGAGACTTATGTGGGTTCACCCTATGGCCCGATCATCAATGTGAGACAAGGCTAAGCGCTGGGGTTCCACTCTCAATCACAGAGATCTATTCTTGTCGCTTTTGACAGCACAGCGTATGGCACCCCAATTATTGCGACTATCACTACGGAGTACAGCAGCCTCGGACCTCCTTCCACGGTATTTATTCGTTGTCCGTATATAATTCCGTACTCCGTACCCATCCTGTTGCTAGAAAGCAGTGGAGTAATCCGTAAAAGCTTAGCAGATATTTATATCTACCCCGTAAATGATTCAGTATTATTTCACGGTTTCAGATTGATTGTTACCAGTAAACAAACCCTGGGATGATATGAAATGGAGCAACTATGTTGTACAAAATAGGGGCCTGATCCCGTCTCCAAGAAGACCCACTACAACCTAAAGAATCCATTAATGAAAGCAACATAAAGAACCTCCTACTCGAGAGTTAAATACCAAGTGCGGAGTAGTAAGTATAGTTAGAAAAAACCCGAGATAAATCATAGACGCTTCTCTTAATCCCGTCGGTAATTCAATATTGTAAGAATACATAAATGTAGTCTATAAGTCCCTATCCTTTACGGCACGGCATAAGACTTTATGATTCAAGCGTGCAAGCTCGAGATAATCATTATGTTCAAGATAGTACGGATACTACAATAGATCTTTTTTCAATGTCTTGTTTCCTACATAATGTTATCGCCGAAATAGTACATAATAGTTGCAAATTGAACCACAGACTATTCGTAATGTTAAGCATAATTTCTACTAGGATATCCCATGTATAGCCTGTGATTTGTACAACGAAAACATGACTTCTTCAACGATGGAGATATACTCCGTACCTTCCTATTAGAGCCGAGTATCCGGCAGAAAATGTGGTATTCCCACCGCCTACCACATTGTGACCGACAAGCAAAGACTTCCATTTCACCGCCCCCCTCATCACGTCCTTCTCTAGGCACAAGCTCGCTACCATGGGGCCCGAGGGGCTCGATAAGCCCGAGATCCCAGATAAACCTGAGAAAAGATCTCGTCGACGTGGGGCCGAACTCGATCCATTCCTTCGCACCCGGCTCTGTGTGCTCAGAACCACAGCCAAATGGACCTACAAACAGATCCAGAATGAATACCCACACATCCCACTCTCGACCATCAAATCGACCATTCTCCGAGAGAGCAATCGTGTCAATAACCACTCACAAGCCCGCTCTGGCCGACCGTCAAAGCTGAAGGACGAAGATCGAGCCCGAATCCGCGAGGCTTTTCATGCGAACCCTCAAATCACATACGATGAACTGCTTGTGGTAGTGGATTATAAAGTTGGCAAGGAGTCGCTTCGTCGGTTTCTGAATGATGATGGGCTGAGGAAGACACAGACCCCTGCTCGGTCTTCTTTGGCTGGGAAAGGAGCTACCAAAAAAGTTGATGGGGCTCAATCGGTTCAGTCATATGACACACCTTCTGCTGACTGGGCTGGTGATCTTGCATCTGGTCTAGTACCCAGCGATTCAGATCCTGCATCTGCTACAGCGAGTCAAGTCGTCAGCAATTAGACTTGTTGAAAGAGATACCCCGGGATTTTCGGCGTTGCGCGTTACTTTGGAGGTTGTCTGCTCAATTATTCAACCAGATTTATTCTGCATGTCATGACAAGCATAAGTTATACATGATAATTATACAACATAGAGCATTGGAATGAAACCTTCATTGCAGGATTAATACACGGCGAACAATTGGTTCCGATGAAACATCCATAATATAGTGTGATCAATTACTGTATCATCAATCCCATAACCTATAGAAATGCTTGATTCCGGCATCCTTTGTCTGGCCATTGTTTCCGGGCAGCTTGCTTGTATCATGCTAATGGTCTCAGATAAAGTGTGGAAATTGCAGGCAACATGCTAACAGAATAGACCCATTTCTAATCCTAGACGGAAAATGGGTAAATCATAGCCATTTGGGGTAAATGCTCTACTTAGATGGAGTTATTTTTGCAGCTCCTGTGGACTCAATAATGAAATATGACCTGAATAACTAATTATTTTACTTCATGCAGTCACGTTGAAAGATGGAATTTCATACCCCAGTCACGTTTGGTACTTCACTATATTCGCTCTTAGATATGCCAGGCGGAGAGAAAGAAAGCAGGGGCTCACTATTCCATAAATAGGCATCTAATAGAACTCACAGGACAAGTGATCAATATACATTTGGCTTTCATACAGCATTTGGTTTTGAGCTTTTTCAATCTAGTCAGTACATTCTCAAACACTGTGTCCATGTCTTGTAGGTTTGATTCCCTTGCGGCATTTCTTGTATCTTTATAGAGCCTACGTTCCAAAATATCCTAAAGTATACAGCCGTTCTATAAATAAAGGGGAAATTTGAACTTTGGCGGAAGAGTAGGCTGACCTAGAAGATGTGATTTAGTTACCAAGCTCTGCTGTTAATGTTAGAAGTAAAAGATTCAATTACTAGACTCTGGATAATTACATTCGCTCATATGTCACATGTTGGAATGCAACGCAAATATCAACCAGATCAAGTCGCGTCATTGAAAATAATAATAATAGAAAGAGCCCAGGCTGAACAAAGCAGCAGGGAAACACAAATTGTCCATATGAGAATATCATCATGAGAACAACACCGGACGCCGGGGTATTTTCCTTTTTCCCGAAAAGCAGCCGCCTATGCAGAAACAAAGAAAAATCGCTAAATAAATGACAAAGATAAGCTCATGTCATCGTCACATCTTCGGCCGGGGTGGCGGCAGTGGAAGGCACAGCGGATGCATCAGTCATGGCATCATCTCCATCTGCATCATGCGCAGGGGAGCTCTTTTTCGAGTGTGACTCAGGGGTAGGAGTGGCAGAATCGCTGAACGCATCATCGTCAGATCCAGGGTCATTTTCATCTACCTCTTCCCACAGACGAACAGTCTTGTCTATTCCGCAGCTCACAACCATACGCTTGCCCTTCAGTGTACCCGTGTGAACACAAAGCACAGAGCCCGAGTGACCATCGAGGCGCTGCAGAATTTCCTTGCTCACAATATCCCAGAAGAGGATAGAGCCATCCTCGCTACCGCTGACGGCGAAGCACAGGGGCTGGTTGTAGAGCACGTTTTCAGCCCCATAAGTACCGAAGCATCCCGACAAGCTGTATTTGTTGTTGACATGGCCTTGGAAAGTCTTGAGGACGCGGCTCTGGACATAATTCCACATCCGAATGCAGCCGTCCAGGGTCCAGGCCAAGACATATTTGCCGTTAGGGGAGAACTTGACGCATGTCGCAGGCGGGTTGTCTTCCATGACTAGGGTGCGGAGACACTGACCGCTGTGGGTGTCCCAGATACGAATAAGTCCATCCAGAGCGCATGAGGCGATTAGGCTTCCATCATGCACAACATCAATACCGGAAACAGGGTCAGAGTGGGCTGGAAGAGAGCGCATGACTTGTGCTCGGCGAACGTCCCACATAAACACGGCCTCGTCATAGGAACCGCTGACGAGGATGTTACCCTTCGGTGCGAATGCCATTTGATAGACGTAGTTTTGATGGCCATCAAAGACCTTGGTATGGGCTTTGAGCTGTATCAAAGTATCAGTAAAAGGCCCTAGGACAGAAAATGACAAATGAGTTTCTTACAGTGTTCACGTTCCAGAAACGAATTGTTTTGTCATCGGAACCAGTTGCGATCCAGACACCGTCAGGGGCCCAGGCAAGGGTGGAGATACCAGCTAGATGTCCCTCAAAGACATGAATGAGTCTGCCACTCGCAGTATCCCAGACCCTAACAGCTGCATCGGCACCTATTGTGCAAAGTCAGTTATCAAGTTATGTAGTAGCTAGACCATGGACATAATATATACCCGCACTAGCAATCATAGAGCAATCAGGTGAGAATTGCACAGCCGAAACTCCACGTAGGTGACCGCGCATCACAAACTTCTCCTTGTAGTTCAGATGCTCAGGCTTGGGAGGCACCGGAGCAACAGGCGTCGCAGAACGATCGGACCAGTCATCGGCATCACCAGCCTGATTCTCGTCTGAACCAGCCACATCATCTTCTGCGAGATCATCCGAACCGCCCTGTGAATTGTCGTCACGGATGGGAGAGGGGCTCCGGTGGTGGTTGCGCATGCGCGAGGAACGCCAGTATTCGTCTGCGTCCACAGCTAACTCGTCAGGGCTCTCAGACTCGCTGTAGAGGCGGCCAGTTTTCTTCGGGCGCTGTGGGGTGAACGCCTTTTGCAGGGTCCAGCTGGCTCGTCGGCGTTCAGCTTCGTCATGCTCCGAGCCGGCGGCGAGTTCATCGGAGGAGGACTCAGCGGGAGATTGGGCGCGAGGGTCTCGGCGCCGAGGCTGGGGGTTTGGATGATCCATTGTACAATAGGGATATGCAAAAGCATCTAAACAAACGATGCAAATGCGCCGATATGGGTTTAAAGATAGCAACCCCGAAAATAAAATCAATCGGACGCGTCGCGAAACATTTATCAAGGCGGTGTATATTTTTGCGGGCGGTGAGAGTGAGGCAGCTTTTGGTGACTGCGTCATATTAAACCACGTGGACCCGTGGCCGTTCACATGGATTAACACTTGTTTAGCACTTTATTGACCACTTCCTGGTCGACTAATACGCCTAAATATAGCTTTCAAAGCTCATTCTGGTCAATATCTGGCCCAATGGCCTACTCTATTCCCTCCAAAGCTCCAACCGACATTCGTGTCCTCACATTCAACTGCTGGGGTCTCAAATACATCGCCAAGTACCGCCATGAACGCATGTCGGAGATTGGGCGGCAATTGGCAATAGCCAGCCCGCCGCCCGAGATAGTTGGACTGCAAGAATGTTGGACCCAGAAGGATTATGAAAGCATTCGCGATCAGACTCGACACATCCTACCGTATGGGAAGTTCTATTACGGGGGCATATTTGGTGCGGGATTGGCGATTCTATCAAAATGGCCAATCGAGGAAAGCAGCATGTTCGGCTACCCGTTGAATGGCCGACCAACGGCATTCTTCCGAGGAGATTGGTTCGTGGGGAAAGGAGTCGCCAGCGCACGCGTTCGGTTCGGTCCCGGTACTGCTGACGTCGCCGAGGTGTTCTGCACTCATCTGCACGCGCCGTATGAGCGCGAACCAAACGACTCCTATCTCTGCCACCGGACTGCGCAGGCATGGGAGATCTCTAAGTTAATGCGTGGCGCTGCGGAACGCGGTCACCTTGTCATCGGCCTGGGTGACTTCAACATGGTGCCTTCCTCTTTCGCGCACCGCCTTATCACCACGCAGAGCCCTGTCCGCGACGCCTGGCGTGAGCTGCACCCGGACTCATCCCTCGCGGCAGCAATTGATCCTGCCGAACAAGCACGGAATCGGCCTATTCCCACTGCCGAGTTCAATCTTACCGAGAATGGAGCTACATGTGACGGGGCCTTCAATACTTGGCGTTGGACTGAGGCCATGCGCAAGCGCCTAGTCAAGGGCGAGGATATTGAGATTGACAATGAGACCCCAGACCCGCGCGCCAAACGTCTGGATTATATCTTCATCGGCGACGGTGGCTACCCGCCTGCATTCCCGCCATCTAGCTGGTCAGTCCAGTCAGTTCAGATCTCCATGACACAGCGCCATCCCACTCTCCTCTGCTCGCTGAGTGACCACTTCGCCGTTGAGGCTGTCATCACCCGTTCTTCTGTACGGACATACCCTCCTTCCCACTCTTCAGACTCTGCTCCAAGCTCTCCCACTTCTCCTTCCCTGCATGAAACAACTTCAAAGCCTGTCTCCCCCAACGCCGCCCTTTCTCCAGACACATATGACCACATCATTGACATGACCCACACATACGTGGCCCGTGAACGCTCTCAGCGCCGTTGGCGTCTGGCGCATTTTTTGGTATCTATTGTGATTTCCATTGGTTGCATGGTCGGCGTGTGGTGGATTGGCAACCGCACGTACATCGGATTCATCCTCATCCTAGTCAGCACGCTCAACTTCGCCGCTGGGGTTTTGGATGGTCTGATTGGTGGGCTGTTTATGTCGGGTGAATTACGGGCCTTGAAAGAGTTTGAGTGGGAGGTAAGAAATGCCAGAAACTTGGTCGTTGCCGCCGAGAATAGGGTAAGTGCTACTTCTGGAGAAAGGGACGGAGATCAGAAGGATTAAAAAATTTCACCGCAAGCTGGTTTGTGGACAGGGGAATTATACGTGGAAGGTGTGGCTTGATTGCGCGGCTTAACTGTCTGTTTATATTTACTTAAGTGTAGTATAGTATATGCCCAGCTAGTCTTATCCTCGACTGGCAAAACTAATTCATAATTCCCAAGATCAACTTCAAGATAGACTACTTGTCTACAGATTAAGCATAAGAGAATTCGGCATGAAATGAGCGTGTGCATTTGTTAAAAATTCGTCATCATCAAAGCGACCGAGTCCACCAGCATCAAGCAAGGAGCAAGCAGAAACGACAAAGAGAGCCAGCACGAGAGAGTGCGAATTTACTCAGCACACTCGCGCTTGCGGGTGTCAAAGACACGCAGAGTCTCCTCAGCAGCCTTAACACCACTCATAACCATAGCGCCGAAAGTAGGGCCCATACGGTTGAAGCCGTCGATCTCCGACAGCTCCATACCACCAATGATAAGGCCCTTAGCGACCTCACGGGTGTTCTTAACAATAGCGTCCTCGGCCGCATTCATGTCAAGGCCACGCATGCCGCCGAGCTTCTCAATAGCGTTCATGGAGACAAGACGCTTAGCGCAGAAAGCGCCGAATGGGCCGTCGTGGCCAGTGGTGCTGACGATAACCGGGGCATTGATGGTGTTGGGGTCCATGCAGGAGTGGTCGTCGTGGTGGAGGGTGACGAGAGTCCAGTTGACGACGACACCGGCGAGGCGGATGTCGTTGCCGTCGGGACGGGTGATCAGGTCCTCAACGCAGGTCGCGTTGAAGAGCTTGACGTTCGGGAAGGCGAGGACCTTTGACAGGAGCGTCGACGTGAACAGCGAGGCGTGCTTGACGACGACGAAGTTCGGGTTCGAGGGCTCTTCCTCGAAGGGCACGCCGAGCTCGGTCAGGAAGGCATCTGCGGGGCGACGGAGGATCATGGCGCTGAATAGCTGACCACCTAGCCAGGCACCGCCACCTATATGATATGTGTGTTAGTGGTGCTGTGGTAGGTCTACGAGAGAGTCTGCTCGTGTGGAGCCGAGACTAACCGGGCGAAACAGAGGCCTCAATGATGGCGATCTTCAGGTCTGGACGGGCCTTGGCGAGTACATAGGCAGTACTCAGACCACAGGAACCAGCGCCGACGATGACAACATCGCTCTCGGCGTAGTTGTCCAGATCCTGGAAGTAGCGTCGGGTCATGGCGCGAGAGACTTGGCTCTCGCGGATAGGGGCGAACTTGAACTCATCCCATTTGTTGCCGAACTGCTCAAGGAGGTTTGACTGGCCATGGCCGGTCAGTGTCACCGATTCGGGGACGATGACCTTGCCCTTGATGCCGGTAGGGGCAACAGTAGCAGGCTCAAACATGGCAGCGGGAGGAGACATAATGGTTCAGAGATCAAGTCGGGGATTTGACTTTGGACCTTGGTTAGTTTGACTACTCTATTTTGGGGGAGGGGAGGGGGGGGAGGGCATGATCCTTTCGCTAGTATTATCCAGATCAAGTTAAAGGCCGTATAATCTCAGAACGAACCCACGCCGACGGTGAACCTGATGTCTAAGAGACATCGGATTCACCACCGACGCAAGAACGGACACCGGCTCATACCCAGAGGTTACCTGAGATACCTTGATCCCTGAGGGATAATGTGCCCAGCCAAAGAAAATCCATGGCTCCCGAAGGAAGGGCAGTATGTACTTGTTCGTTTGGGATCTAAACAAGAGTCAGCCTTGAGGGTATGCAAGCATGACATGGCAGTAGATAGTTACTGTTGGAATATAAATTCGTCACTTGATTGATGAAGAGAAGAAGAAGAAGGGAAAAAAAAACAACTGCGGGCAGGTCAACCTTATATGCCACCTTGGAAGAGTCATACCCCACCATCCCCATCGCCATCCCACCTATCGAGATGTCATATTGCTCCGACTCCCTCCGGTTGTCCGACGAGCTTCCCGGTGAGCTACGTTGCACGAATAAGATGCTCTCGAGTGACGTTTCTAGCTTTTCTAGCTCTTGGCTACGAATGGCCGGAGCGTTCTGTCCCGGACTTCCTTGTTTTGCTCCACGAGAGTACCGGTACAACATAGGTTTTTTGTGAGTACATATGGTATGTAGAACTGCACGGTAGATTCTTGAAATAGAATGTGGGAATATAATACGTTAATCAACAACTCTTACACTGTAAGATTGTAGCTGTCAAGCTTGTATGGAGGGCGTAGGACATCGATGTACGTTTTACTGACGGTGACTACAATCGGACCAACCTTGAAAAGCACCAAGGTCGCAGAATAGATCAATTATTATCGGAATGAATCTACACGAACTTGCTTGGTATAAATATGCGAATTCAATAGGAATATATTTCATTTTTTCTTCGAAGACCCTATGTGGGTTTTCTGACATCATAAGTCATCACAGCGTTTAGCTGGGTCATATATATGTGTCTATACTTACCGGATTTATTTGAGCTGCCGCCGCTTTTATGTAGCCAAACTTCGACTACAGCTGGATTGATGGCGGGGCTACGCGTACTTGGTACCTGGTATGGGTTGCTAGTGAGTCTCTTGGGTTGAGTATGATGTCTTTATTACTCCAAACCTTATCCATATAATTTCGGACACCGGAATGTCTGCACCTTCTATCCTCGTGAATTCCCCTTCGGAAAACCCTACGTTGGCCTTAAAAATGATGTCTGATGACTCGGACTCCCCAGAAGTCGAGCACTCAGACGTCGAGTGCTTCGAGGCGCTGCCCGACGACACAGTCGAAGCCACCGGGTCGACGGAGAGTGCCATCCGGAAGATTATTAGAGAAAACCAAGAAACAACCGACGTGGTGAAATATATATGTTTCACAAACGTCCTACCAACTATTGCGGACAATTTTTCTTTGCGCAGTACTCGGCAGATGTTTAATCGCCGCACTCGATATATGATCATCAAGCTCTTTATTGGGGCCCATGAAACAGCTTCATGCGGCCTGGGTGGTGCAGTGCAATATGAGATATACAATATGGGGCTGGGCAAGTCGATTCGCCCGTTAGGGTCCAAAACCATCCAAGGTATGTTTTGCAGAAAGGAGGCCGACCGTTATGGTCGAAGTGGGAGTATCGGAGTCATATCGAAAGCTGCGAGCAGATGCAGAATGGTGGCTCATAAACTCGAGGGGCGATGTGAAGCTTGTAATTATCGTGTCCATTAGTCGAAAGACCCCCAACATCAAGTTTGAGGCTGTTACTTTGGACCCGACTGTCAACTCCTTGCGACTGCAGTGGCCCAAGATACGGCGGACCATTACGGCATCCCGCGACGCAAACAAACCCTACTCACAGATTACCATCAGGCCAGCAGTACCTTTGATCATCGGGTTTGAAGAATTGCTTTGTCGTCAACCAGTCCCGCCTGAACACGACATTGAACTATCACCTGATCGGTTGGGAGGGATCTCAACACACGTGTGGGGGGAGCAAGGATTCTAGCTTATTATTACCTCTATACCTCTGTTAGTTCTCGTAGCTAGCGTCTTCAATGACACAATCTTTGCTACAATAATCGTGGAGTGATTGTCAAAGCGCTGTGTAGATTCTTGAAGACAGGGGACGCGACAGAGAAAGATGGCTGTAGAAAGAAGAAGAATGAAGGTCATGAAGGTTTATTTAGTACATGTTATATATTTGCCATACTATTTGTTTGCCATACTGTATCTCTTGTACTTTATCAGTTTCTCAAGCAGTTTCTCAAGCAGTTTCTCAAGCAGCTTCTCAAGTGGTTGCTTAAGCGGTTGCTTAAGTGGTTGATAAAGTAATTGACGATAAAGTAGTTAATTAAGCAGTTAATAATGATATGACAAAAGGGACTTAATTTTATTAGTGGTTTACATACAAATTGTAGGTACCTACTGCCATACTACTACATATGGCAGGAAATATGCCTAATTGTGCACGCGGTACTGAAATTACAGGCAGGGGGGAATAACCCAGTCAGAGGGGCGCTTTGCGTAGCATTAAAAGTTGGAATCAGTCGCTTCGCTCTGCAACGACTATCTGGAGGCCTTAGGCCGTCGAGATCACTAGTATGTTGAGCCGAGCTCTGGTTTAATCGATGAGCCGACCTGTACTCTGGAAATCAGAGTGCTAGATGATGATCAGGTGATGCAGAATACTCAGGGACGTGCTCCGTTTTACCCAGTGATCAAAAAGCGGCAAGAGGTGAGCACTAAAATGGAAAGGGAAAGGTTTCGAGTGCCAGGCATTATCCGGTACATATGCAAGATGCAAGAGAATACATGTTATCCGTAAGAGAATGCAAAATCACAGCACAAAACGGTAATTGGCACCGTAATTGTCCTCCGCTACCGGGCCATCCGCAGGTTTTGTTGGGTCTTCTTCAATTTGAGGCCCATACTTCTTGTCAAGGCGCCGGTTCTCCCATACCAGAAGCACACGCAGAGACAAAGCAAGGAGTGAAGTGAAGAACATGAAACCAGCACAGATTCCCATACCCTTTACATACCTCGGGGCTTGTGCATCTGGGAAGATGTTGGTGCCCAGGAAAGGCCCACACTGGCCGATCACGTTCAACAGGATAATACTTCCACCACGGCGAGTATCGGAGCCCTGATTGTCTGCACAACGTAACACGTCCAGTCAGTAAAAAAGCTTTGCACAGAAAACTCTAAGGATCAGAAAAGGGAATGACTCACTCAGAACCCACGGCAGAATATTGGCGATCGAGGGGAAGACTCCACAGGCCGCCAAGAACACACCGAAGTATCGAACACCCACTGAGGTGCAGGTAGCGCACAGGATATACCCCACGCCACCAACCACTGATAAAGCTGCGATCGTCAATCCACGCTGCTGAATGCGATCCGCCACCCAAGTGGTCGCGATCGTCGCCAGGAATGAGGCAAAGAATGGAGGTGCAGTGAGGCCCTGGGCGTTGATGGCCGTGAAGCCCATCTCCTTGAGAATGGTGGGTAGGAACACGGGGAGAGAAGAGAAACTGACGTTACAGCTGAAGTACATCAACTAGGTACACGTTTAATATCAGCAAGTTGTGCGCACAATATACACAATGAGTACTTACTGCTGTAAGCCACGCTTTGACGTCGAGAAGCGTCATGGCTAATTCCTTCCATTGGATCTTGACTGCACGGTCCGGCTCACCAGATTGTTGCATTGCCCGGGCACGCGCAACCTCCTTCTCTTCCTTATTCAGGAACTTGGCGTCCTGCGGGCTATCTGGCACGTAGAACCAAGCCAGCAGGGCAGCTGCGCAGACCGGAACACCCTCAACCAGGAACAGCAATCGCCAATTCGCCAACGCGGAATGTCCCGAAGTAATACCATATGCCAAGGCACCGGCGAATGTATTTGCCAGTGGTGCGGCAGACAGAAACATACCGCATCGGAGACCCAGCTCGTGGCGGCGGTAGAAGAATGATAGCAGATAGGGCACACCGGGACCGAAGCCAGCCTCGAAGACGCCCATTAGGAACCGGAGTGCCATCATGCCTTTCCAATTACTGACCGCTGCTTGGCATGTTGCCATCAAACCCCTTTTCCGTTGTCCGTCAGTCCATGTTCCTATACATTCGCAACCCCGGTTGAATGACAGCATTGCACGTGGGTTTCATACCAGGAGAACAACACAAAGGCAGCCCACTGGTGCGGCTTGACAATCTTCCACATCATTGCTTGGAATTCAAACACTGTATATGAGATATAGAAGATTGTCAAGAGCCAGGCGTAGCTTTTTCCATCGAGGTCGAGGTCCTCTTTCATGCCGGCGATTTTGGCATTGCTATGGTTTCCATCGTCAGCGGTCGTGCTATTTTGCATGCAGGTCCAAGGATGATATCGCGAACGAACCCGATGTTGCTTCGGTCGAGGAAAGCGAGGAGATCTGGATACCACAGAAACGGGTTAGAGTACAAATTCGTTTAATGTCTGGAGTTTGCAGCATACAGAAAAATCCCAATAACGTCACAACATGCCAGTCCAATTTCCTTACCACTCTCCGCTCTAACTCAGGGTCAATAGCCGGCAAGAGTGTAGTGGGTTTCTCCTGGTGAGTGGGCACGGCAGATTTCTCAATATCTTCATCCGGGGCAGTTTGGATTACATTCTCCAACTGCTCCTGCCTTTCCAAGAAGCCCATGGTGAATTGGAGACGTCCCAACAGACAACGGGATATTAACAAGGTGAAAAAGGAAGAGAAAAGAGAAAAAGGTCGGACACTTTTCCGGAGTTGGGGTTCGGAGTCATACTTATTCGCACGGTGAGAGGGAAAAAAGCCTGGATCCGCAGAGGCATACTGGCGTACTACATAATACAGCGACTAATGGCCAGCTTCTAGACTGGTGATTGGTGGGAACTGCAGAAACAATTTATGCATCTATTGGTCATTTGGACAGGCGAATGAGATTTCGAGGTGGAGAATTGGAAACTGGAGAAAATGCGGAGGAATTGGCAAAGCTTAGGAGAGCCGCTTTGGTCTGATAGGCCGAGGTCGGGGAGCAGTCGGTGTACTCCGACAGTCTATATGTTGTGCTAGTTATCTCTTTCAAGATGAAAGTACCTTGATATTGACTGAGGTTATCTATGTGGCTATTTAATAGAACAGAATTCTCATGCTGTAGGTAGAAAAAAATGCTAGTTTGTCCAAGTGTGCGGAGTATAGATCTACACCATACTTGCCAACATCCCTTGAAATCTCTTATATAACCATTTATTCATCATGTTTGTCTATTTATAAACTACATGAATAATGGATAATGAGTCTTTCAAATTGGAAAAACGTAACTAACTATAAAAACTGATGCCTGTAAATCCAGGTGTTCTGCATATCAGGTCAGTACCGGGGACCGTATCAAAAATCTCCCGCGTACTGTCGCGTTCATGAAACAACTCCATCCTTCATTGCTCTTGCCTTATCTACCTTCATCGCATTACAATTCCGCACTTGATTCAAATCTAATTTACACGTGTCTTCCCAAAGCGGATTGCAAATTGGCAATCAAGCGCGCAATATGGATGACCCGGCCACACGCATCCCGGGGCAGCTGGTAAGACCCCAACAGCTCCCGTGTCAATTGCCCTATGCTCTGTAACCCCCCCACTAACATTGTCGCAATTATTATAGCTCCCCCACATGCACCTGGTTTCGCGCAACCGATACCCTAGCATGCACATGATGCCATCCGAGACCGCCGTCGAGTATTTGACGAGTGCACCCCGGATCTGCCAATCCCAGCCAATGCATTGGACATTCCTCGATGGTCCCCCGGATGGGACTGTTATGCTTACATGGCAGCCACAAAACCATCTAGGCAATAATTTTGCTAGTGATGGCTATGTCTGGGCCGACCAGGAACAGGCCTTTACCTTTGAATCTCGCGGCTATGTATGCGAGGCTTCCCCTGCTCCATGTGGATTCCATTCTAATGCTTAAGGACACAGACCGTCGAGATGTACCTTCACCGAAGTGGTTTCCACCCTCCCAATGAGCCCGTGGCAACACATTGCCGCAAGCGCTACCGTATCACCTCGTCCAAAGTACCAAACGCTCCCCAGCCCGACCCATCCCTGTGGATTGTGCACTACACCCGTGCGGCGCCTCAGGACCATGCCCCCGCAAATCGCATTCAAGTTACACCCCAGGTCCAGGGCATGATGGGCCAGCGCCGTTTCCTCCAGAGCCAAGGACAATTGGCCCGCAAGGACTTTTTGCTTCATGATCGCAACAGTTGGCCGGTTATCAACTTCCCGCAGATGGCTCCCCAGAACTTTGGGCAACCCGGTGCTTACCCAGCCGCTGTGCCTCGTGGACCTGGTTTCTATGCCCCCCAGGGTCATCCAGGTGCAGTTCCGCCGAATGTGCCCGTAGCCAAAGGACCGCGCGGGCACCGTGCGCCGTCGGCTGCCCTCGCTTCTACAACAGCCGATTTTGCTGTTGAAGATGAGGACGTCTCCAGTGGTGACGCTATGGATCTTTTGACGCCCCGCGATGTCAGCAAGATGCGATACCAGCAGCATCACGAGTGGATGGAGGAAATCTTCGCGTCACCATACAGTATCTCACAAATCACACCGGTTTCTTTGGGTCTAGGCCGAAAGGGAGAGCTCGAGTCTCTGACTGCGGGCTTCTTCGATGCTCCGGTCGGAACCTCTGGCGGAGACGGCCAGGAGGCGGGCGACGCCCCGCAGGCTAACAAGATGGAGCCGGCTAAGGCAGAGGAGTTCGCCGAGCGGGTTTCTAAAAAGGTAGCGAACATGACCGCCGAGATCGAAAACTTGAAGAAACAGCATGCTCGCCGGATGCAACGTTTCAACCGAACCTCATTGCTCAAGGATGCCGAGTTGCGCCTCCGAGAGTCTGCTGCTGACCCAACTGAAACGGGCCCAGAGATTTGGAGACTGGAGGGCCGAGTGGTCATTCCAACAGAGGACGAAACCCCTCAATTGGATTACATTGAAGATAAAGCCAAGTACAGGGTTGATGAGGTAATCCGGGAAGTTGAGACTTCCTGGAATAAGCAAATCGTCGCGGAGCCCAAGGTATCCTGTGTCGAGAAGGGTGGTTTATTGGAGAAGATTGAACCCGAACACAAAGACGAGCCTGACTCATTTACAAATGATATGGTCATGGACGATGATTCTTCCCACCTACTCAACCAATTTGGCAGCCCGGGCGTTGGTGTAGGCGCAGTCTCAGGCGTTTCTGTCAATGGACAACCAATCCACGGCGCTGATATGTCCGGTGATGTTGACATGGATTTGGGCGACCAGCTCCACGCTGGTACTAATGGCCAGGCTAACGACTGGGTAATGGTGAGCAATGACAGCAAAGACCATGGCCCAGTCGGTGGAGACTTCGACTTTACCAACATCGACAGTGCCGGAGATGCGTTGGCAGCTTACAGCGAGCAGAACGATGGGCTTGACTTGCCAGACCTGGAGAATTCGGCGTTCGGCGACGCGTTCCATGCATCTGACAATGAACATTCGCACAACCCCGATGCGGACGACATTTCCTAGTCTGCTCCGAAATTTTTCATATGAAAGTGTGTTTCTTTAACGAATAATTCTGCGGATCAGTCATTCTAGTCTGTTTCAGGTGTTGCGGCTTGCTGTTCGGGAGTCTGGATTTATGCAGGATGCTTTAGCTGGTTGTGTACCATAGGATTGGCCGAGGGAATTCTCTGCTTCCTCTGGCTTCTTTTTTTTGTTGCCTCGGATTGAGAGGATAGAGAGTGGGATCTCCTATGAATTTAATCCCTATTTTTCATCTATCTTCCAATGTAGGTTTCATCGAATGAGATATTTCCCAACTAGGAAGGTAACAGTTGTCCACGGGTGTCCACGAATATTCAGAATCTGAAACTAAGGGACGCCTACCTTCTCTATGATTATATACTTATGTACCTATGAAGTGCATGAAACCTTGGATATAGTATCATAATTAGCTAATAGTCTAGGACTGGTACAGCTAGCTGCTAGTGTGTACTCTGATATCGGGAAGCCGAGAGTGGAAAATGGCCCTGAACCTTTCACGAGACAGGCTTCAAAATTGAAAGACCATCACCACTCACGCATAATACAACGTCAGCCTTGAAATATCCGCAATCGGAAAGGTGATGGCATGTATGAACTGCTCCATCGACTTCCGCCCTTGCCCGTTCATGACGTCAGTCACCGGGACTGCACTTCCTCTGAGAAAGAAAAGAGAAGCCTTGGAAGCGAATAGGGTTCGTCACCATCGTCATCTATAGGAAGGTGCTACCGACTTAACATTAACCTCTCCCATGTTCAGTTTTCTCGGTTTCTCATCTTAACATATCTCCCCCCATAACCCTAACTTGTATTGATTGACTATATCTACATACAAGAAACAAGATGTATGTATCCTACATTCTCAATCCTCACTGTGACTAAAAGGAAGCCTAGGAACCGCAACCTTTCATTCCGATCACGCAGGGAGCCCCCTCGACAGCGGTTCGGAATTTCCACCTTCCGTGGAATGCAAGCGCCGGAATTGAGCCGCAAGATGACCAAGCTGATCAAGAGCGAGAACACTGCCATTGGTGCCCACGAATCTGCCGGCCGCGAGCGCACCTCGATTGCCGCCCAGCTCTCTGAATGGGGAGAGGCGACTGAAGACGACAATGTCTCCGACATATCCGACAAGCTCGGCGTCATGCTCGCTGAGATCGGCGAGCAGGAAGACAGCTTTGCGCAGAATCTCGAGGACTACCGTAGTATCCTGAAGCAGATTCGCAACATGGAGGCCTCGGTGCAGCCATCGCGCGAGCAGCGCCAGAAGGTCACTGACGAGATTGCCAAGCTCAAGTACAAGGATCCTTCGAGCCCGCGTCTGGTCACGTTGGAGCATGAGCTTGTCCGGGCTGAGGCTCAGAACTTGGTTGCTGAGGCGCAGCTGTCTAACATCGTATGTTTTGATTCTGACTTCGTTCTGTTCTTGTGGTGAAGATAGTTTTGAACTTGCTAACATTCATCTCCTGCAGACTCGCCAAAAGCTGAAGGAGGCTTATGATATCCATCTGACGGCTGTGATTGAGCGCGCCGAGAAGCAGACTATTCTAGCTCGCCATGCTCGTCGTCTGCTGAACTACATTGATGACACTCCGGTTGTTCCCGGCGATGCCCGCCAGGCGTATGACCACGAGCCTTTGGCACGCCAGATCCTCGAGGATGCCGAGAATGATCTCCGTGGATGGGAATCCAGCGTTGAGCCTCTCATCACCGTCACGGGCCGGGAAACTCCGGTTCATGCCAACGGAAATGATGCCAACGGTACCAGTGTCAATGAACGCGATGATGTGTCGGATGGCCAGTCGGATGTTCTCGATCATGTCTCTGTGGCTGAGGGTTTCACCGAGCCAGTGGGAAGCGGTGCGCTGCCCGCGAGGATGGTGGTGATTGAGCCTTCGCCTGCGTGATCGTTTCAGAGATTCAGTGGTCTCCTTTTTAGTTCAATGCGGACATACTTCAGCTGTTATTGTGTAAATTCGGTTCTTCGCCTCAGATTGGGCACCAAGACTTGCTGGTGTTTTTGGGAAAGGCGTTGGCTGGCACTGCACATGGGGGTCTATACTCAGGAAATATGCAAATTGTGTATTGTAAAGTTTAATTCTCTAATTCTCTAATTCATTACTTCGTTTGTTTTGTTCTTTATTCTCTTTCTCCCAATATCTTTCAAAGATGATATGAAATGAACATGGCGATTTGTAGTAGAGCATGCACGTGACCACAGGCGCCAGAGTGACGCGGAAACCCCGAGCTCCAGCGGAGCTTCAACCATCACCGACTATCTCACCAGAATCCCTTTCACGTCCTTCTAGCATCTTTATTTTCTAATTTTCTCCTTATTTCCTCTTCCTTCAGAACACAATGGATAAGCTTGTTGCCCAATACTCGCGCCCTCCCCATCAGAATGAGTTGTACTCAGAGCAAGAGCAGCAGGACCTCACTGCGAGCGTCCCTCCACTCTCGCTGAAGTTCAGCCTCCCTCCTGTCGACAACGTGAGTTTCTGATGAATACTATGGGAGATTCTCTTGCGACTGGATGATGGCGGTTTGGTCGGGGATGTACATCTATCCTGACGTCAACCTAAGCTGCGCCGTCATCACAGCTATGTCTAAGAGAATCGCTAGCCAGAAACTATACATGATTGAAAAAAGCGAAATAATGGACTGACGTTCATTTCTTATATCTAGCACTCTGCTTTCCTGCGTGCGATGACCGATGACCACTCCAATCCCAGCTGTCCTATCAAGCTCGCCCACGGCACAACAACCTTGGCCTTCCGGTTCCAGGGCGGTATCGTACGTTTTCCTATATTTCGGTTACACCATGGGTTTCTTAATTTTGGAGCATTTTGCTGATTGAAATATTGGGTTAGATCGTCTGTACCGATTCACGAGCGACAGCCGGCAACTGGATTGCCAGTCAGACAGTCAAGAAGGTCATTCCTGTATCGCGGTTGAGTCGGGGTGAGGACAAGAAGACGAACGAGCCGACGCCAGGTCTTCTGGGAACGATGGCCGGTGGTGCAGCCGTAAGTTGGCCGCAAGCTAATGGGTGATGGCGTGATGGATGTTGGTTGCTGATGGTTGTCGCAAATTGCTAGGATTGCCAATATTGGTTGCGTTATTTGAGTCAGCAGTGCACTCTGCATGGTAAGTCAGCTCGATTCTTGATATTTTCAGGCATGGAAGGACATGGCTGATGAATTTCTATCTAGAAATCCGACACAAGCGCCGTATCACTGTTGCGGCCGCATCCAAGATCCTTGCCAACCTCACTTACGCCTACAAGGGATACGGACTTAGCATGGGAACTATGTTAGCAGGAGTATGTCCTATACACCATTCATAGCCATGAGATTCGGAACTGACAATGATCTCTAGATGACGCCCCAAGAAGGGCCCGCCCTTTACTACATCGACTCTGACGGCACCCGCCTCGCCGGTAACCTTTTCTGTGTTGGATCTGGTCAGACTTTCGCTTATGGTGTGCTGGACGCCGAGTACAAGTACGAGCTGACTGTGGAGGACGCATTGAACCTCGGCCGCCGGGCCATTCTGGCTGCCATGCACCGTGATGCCTACTCCGGTGGTTTCATTAACCTGTACCACGTCAAGGAAGAGGGATGGGTGCACCACGGATTCGACGACATGAACCCTATCTTCTGGGAGACAAAACTCCAGAAGGGCGAGTTCTCCAACGTGACATCTACGTTGTAAATGGGTCTAGAGGAATGAATGTTTCTGTTTAATATTGATATCGATATGCCATTGAATTATGCTTAGGTTTCAACCAACTTGTGTGCTAGGTTCAATCAGATGGAAGGCAATAGCTCCATCTCCCTATAGTAGTCACCTGTCTTTACAAGGTTCTCCTGGCCTGCTTCACAGAATATCGGTTCCCAACTAAACAGCTAGTTGCATAGCCACCTCAATATGTGGAAACCTCCCTCTAATCAATCTAAACTTATCCAACAGAATATCCTTCGGCATAACCTGCAAATTATGAAAAGAAAGCACAACCCCCTGCATAAAAACAATATCATCAATGCGACTCGTCGTCTCCTCTTCAGTCGCCTGCGGCACATGAATCACCACATCCGCAATAGTATTAACAATCTCCAACAACTTGCTAATCATCGACGAGCCATGCACCCGAATCGTATTCTGCGAGATCTTCGTCAAAAACTGCCTGAGCTGACTCGACAACCTCAACGGCATCTCCAGCTCTAACGACGGACACGACGCATGCGAACTAAGCAAACAATTCGACATGGCCAACTGCCACAACAGCGTCCGCATCCACTGCCGCGTAACCACCAAATCCGCCTGCTGCAGCTCCGACAGCGCCGAAACCTCCACCTCCCACACCGCATCATCCAACTCGCGGTGTTTCCGCTCCACCCACGACGCAGTGACCTGCGTGCGGTCCCCAATCCACAGACTCATAAACGACGCATCCAGCATGCAGAACGTCTTGATCACCTGCGTCCAGCCGAGCTGGATATCCGCGCCCACGAACGCGTCTTCTTCCGGGTACTGGGTGTGCGGGGGCAGTGTCACCGGGGAGAAATTCACGATGGATAGGAATCGCTCGTGGATGAAGCATTGCCAGTACAGTCGTTGGCGGCGGGCTCGCTCAGCCGTGCTGAGGCTGGCATTGACGGTTTTGTCGCTGATGCGGAGCATCTGGATCATGCTGATTGCTTCGCGTAGGTGGAAGAAGCCTAGATCGTAGTGGCCTAGGCTCATGGCGCACATCTGGATGAAGATGCATGTGGTGGCGCGTAGGATTGACGGCCGGAAGCCTATTACTAGTGGTTCTTGGGTTTCCACGGACTGGCGCATTAGGTCTGTTATTTGTGTTGAGGTTGGTTGGGGGCTGGATTTGGTGGTGCATTGAAAGGACCGCGTGACATCCAGGGTTACTGCGGTGAAGGCGTAGATGAAGGCTGCGTGCTCTCTTTCCGTGTCCATTTTTGTGATTGATGTGCGCACTTCTGTCTCGGTGATTATTGGGCTGAAAGGGTATATATAGGACATGTATGCTGGGAGTAGGCTTTCGAAGTATAAGCTTGGTAGTTGGATTGAGGCTGTAGGTGCTGGTGGAGAGAGATGTGGTGTCAAAGTGGTGGGTTTGGTGTTGGTGTTTTTATATTTCGAGATGACAGCTCCTCGACGTAGTGAATGTTTTCTTGATCGCAATAAACGGTTTTCTGTGTAGGTGCACTGGAGATCCAGGTGCTCGCACTGCTGGCATCTTTGCTGGCCATTACAACGAACTTTGCGGCGATTACACGGGTCACATGCTTTTGGCACTCGTGGCTGAGAAGTTGGACTAGCCATTTTTTTCTTTGGCTCTCAAGAGCAAGTGTCGGAGGTAGATGTCTAGTCGGAACATGTACTTCTTCTCCCCGCGTTCGATGTTGGTGGCTTGGCACTTAAGACTCTTTCAGCGTAGCGTCACGGGGTTATTCTCCGCATATATGTACCGGATAATTCCAATGAGTATCTATTTGTGAGTACATCTGCGCTTCATCGATATCGCAAAGCAAGCTACCGACCATTTAACCTCACGGGTCACCCTCCCACATGCTGTGTATATATGTATAGCAGGGGAAAAGGAAAATACCAAAAACACAAAAACATACAACAGTGAGGATTCGCTGGTGGTCACCCACCCAACTACTAACACACCGGCGTGTGGCTTATATGCAGTCAATAATTGGGTGGGTGTCGCCCGGGTGAGAAATGGGTGAGCGCCGCTTTACGGTCGCGCGATCGGGGGTGATAAAGATGAGTGCGCTATAGACAGGGTGAGAATCAGGGTGAGAATCACCCAAGTCGCGCGACCACTGCACTGACCTCTTCGGCTGAACAATAACCGAATGTCATTGGATCGTTCCGTTCCCTCTGAAACGCTCGGCATCTTGGCATGTGCACGTAACCACAACTGGAAGTATTATATAACCAAATTTATTCAAGGTGTCTTCAAATTTATGGTCTGCCTTATGTTGTCGGAGGTGTTACGAGCCAATTCGATTCAGAAGAAAGGAGTGCAATTCAACCAAATTCTAAGTACGGAGGAGAAAGGAAAAAGAGAAACTATCTGAGTGCGCGTTCTTCCCTTCTTATACCCTCGCGTTTGTCTTCGCTTAATTCCCGTTTGGCAAGTACGAGGATGTGACTGTTCCTGCCTCGTTTGGCAAGTACGATCCTTCCTAGATCGTCACAGGAGGATTTGAGCTTTGATGGTATTCGGATCGTTAGGTTTGGGCCCAGAAGGTTCGCTGTATAGGATCTCACCAGCAAGTAGCTCGTAGAAACGACCCTTTAACAGCGGTCAACTTCCACGGATATATCTATATATCACTTCAATTCTCTTTTCCGTATATTCGCTAGTTTGTAAGATCTACTAAAAGCTTCAGGTAGATAGCATCATTCCTCGCGTTTCGTTCTGTATCTTAATGCGCAGTAGTGAATTATCTAGCTTCCTATGGTAGTATTCATCTTCTCTTATTTAACCTCTTATCTTCTTCCCGTTCGCTAAAGTGATCATCAAAAAGCCCGATATATTAAGTAAATATCATTATTATTAGCTTATCAAGATCGTATATTTGACAAATACGTCAATACAATCTACCAAATGATTTCGGTGGCCACTTGGCAGGAGTCGTTGATCTTCTGGTTGATCTTCATCCGGAAATTGTGTATATGCTCTAGGGGTCGAAGATTGATTTGGGATAGTCAACATACGCATCTACCGACCGAGAATACGCAGAGGGTTGATGGCATTGAATGATTGGGATCCACCATACACCTGGGTGGGACGGACACTTCCCGTAGCTAAAAGTATCTAATCAGTCAGATTCTTAGAAATAGCGGTCTAAAATTGAGGGGGAAAATCACGAGTATGTAGTTACATGTATTACCTCAAGTGTCAGGGTTATCGTGGCTAACAGAGGCAACCCACTAGATTGCCCTATAGCTTAGGCGAGACCTATACGTGACTATCACTCCGACGAACTAGCTCTCGGAGCTCCTGTTCGTTCGGGCGGTCACGGGTAGAAGTAGCTGCTTATTAGGCAGCGACGTTGACTATAAATAGCGGTATCTGCTCTCGGATAGTTCTATTTTATTATCACACTTGTCCTTAATTTAGGGTTTCAACTTTGGGACTCGGGCCCAATACCTGTAGATTGAAGAGTGACTAATTAGTCAATCAGCAGGTTGCCTCGGAGTGCTAACTATTTACGCTGCCGCTGCCGGCAAAAGAAACTCCCGGCTGTCGCGTGAGAGACGACGATGTTAGCCACTACACCATATCGGAGAGGTACTACGAAATACGCTTCTAAGTTTGACATCTACTCTCTAGGTTTAGCGCGGCGTATTACTTCATACGTCTAGCTAGCTAATGAGATCATCTCTTGATTCCACATACTTAATCGTCTATTTATGCCCATCACGTAGAGGTTCATTTCGACTAAGACCGTAAAACTTGATGCGCAGTTGAAACTTGGAACATCCGAGTCGTTGGACCTCTTCCCTGGAATCAGGAGATTAGCTAGACCGTGAGTAATCAATATGTATTGAGATCAATCAAGGCAAGAATTAAGAACTAAGAATGATTGGATCATGCTCAACATGAAAAGTGGTCTGGTACATGGAGTTCACACCCGGGAGCAGCTCCTCTGTTTCTGTGGTCCAATCAAGTAAATACTGTCCAAACCAAAACCTAACAGTTCCCTGGGCTACAGCGGCGGTAGATTGAAGTGAAATGTACTTCTCCAAGTAATGAACCGCGTCCTCCTGATCATAAGACGTTGCGGTGCTAACACCTCTTCCAGACAGTCGATGCAACTTGGTACAAAAAAGGAATTCCCAAGGAGCAGCTAAGAGAGTAAGTCCAGGGGCTTGAAAAACAACTTCGTGCTGCTCAAGCGCTTCATCGAGGAGAATACGTCGTATATGGGATGGGACGAAGAGAACAACATGGTTGTTGAGCCACCCCCGTCCGAGTATACGATTCCTTTTGAAAGCGGACTTGGCTGCCTTCGAAAGGCACCTGAGCGCGGCGGGTGGAAGATTGTCATTGAAAAAATCGACATCATGAGTTTCAGGGCGACTTCTGAGGAAGATTGTATTGATGATTCCACCAACGACAACGAGAGTGATGTCTTGGTTCTTGGCTGAAGTGTATTTGGCAACATTCTCGAGGGCAGAAATGAGAATTCCACAAGACAGATTCGGACTCAGGTCGCGTATCGCGGCTGGTCGAGCGGCTAGCTCTTGTAGGCTACGAGCACTGCGACGCCAGCGGAGAGTGGACAGCGACTGACCCATTTTAATCAACGTGGAAGTTTTGAATACAGATCTACCAGCTTCCAGTCGACTCGTGTATCTCCAGTCATTCGTGGATACTCGAATTCATTTTGGCAGGAGCATACGGAACTACTTTAGGGAAACAACTACTTTAGAGAAACAGCATGTAGCCTGGGGCAGCGTGTTCCTATAACCCTTGTTCAGTCGCGCATATCACATGATTCTTCACATTGAGCACAGGAATGAGATACCAGTAGAGACTTGAGGCTTGAAAAATAAAGCAATAACCTCGTACTATCTCCTCCGTACTTTCCCTGCGGTCTAGCTAACCTTTCCGAGAACCTTTCTTTGTTTGCGATGCCAAAAATTAGGAGGAGAAAGGCACACTAAGTTTTACCTCAGTATCCAGTGATATTATTGCAGCGGGTTTGTTTATTTAAGTAGCTATCATGAATACAAATCGGGATACATATCACGGTGATTCATCGGACAGATAAGTATACCCTCAAAAAGCGAGAAATTCATCACCATGTGCAGAGAAGAAATGACGAGTCCATAGAATAGGGGCACGGAAGCATGCATAGCACAGTTGCACAGGTGGGATTCAATATAGTTGGTCAGCAAGATTGTAAAATTAGATAAAAACTTTGATAGGCAACCTTCGTTCATTATCCCGTAACCCTCCAACAATGGCAGGATTTACAAGTAAACATTTTGCTTCCACGGCTGGGCGTAGGACTTCCTTAGCAAACTCCCAGGCTGTAAACAGTAGATTTTTCAAGCCCCCTCCAGCGGCGACAGTTCCCTCATACGCCTCCTGGAGCCTGTCGAACAGCATTAACTCAGTTCCTGAACCCTCATGTATATGGCCGAATACATGTAGCCTTGGCCGAATTCTCCATAAGGTCTGTAGCAAATAAGAACAGCCATACTTCAGTAAGTCAAGATGAGCAAGTGGTGGACCATGAGTAATTAGCACATCAATTCCATCTGGTACTGAGCCAGCCCATACATCTTGATTCCGGGGATATTGAAAGGCCCAGTTGCCATGGCGGCAAGAGTAGGGACTTCCGTAGACCCTCAGTTGACGACCATTTGGGCAATAAATTGTTACTTCCTCGTTTTCGAGGTAGATTATATCTCCCCAGTCGATTTGAGCTCGCTCGGAGGCTGCTCGACCAGACATATCATCCCGCGCTGAATCAAGTAGTAGGTCATGATTGCCAGCAATCACAATTTTGGTAGGATGAGGTAGGCTTCGTAGCCAGGTGATCGAATCTTGAAGTTCCTGAAAAGATCCAGATTGTGTGAGATCACCAGCATGGATGAGGATGTCTCCATCATGGACGTCGGTTTGGGTGTTGTGGGTATCGGAAATACAGACAACCGCGATAGGTTTTGTGAGTGGCGTAGCTGGAATAGGCTCGTACCAACCATAAAGCATTTTTGCGAGGAAGACACAAGGCCGGGCGCGGAATTCTTGCCATCGTCCTGGTCGCTGTCGGTGAAGGAGCTCGTGAAGACTGGACATGATTGGGGAGTCCAGAGCCAGTGTCCAGGGACTTATCGGTAGTAACGAGCGAGCACGTGAAATACTGGGCTGTTGAAATTAATCATGTCAAGATCTTGCCTCAAACGTCCAAGATGTCAAAACTGCCAGAGTTGATGTCGGCCTTACAGATAAATTTATCATGTGACGTCATAATGTTGAGGCCAATATGCTTGGTTCCTGTCGGAATGAACAGGCCTGTGGTAATTCGGTTACCGGAATATCTACAGTGCCGGAAAGATGCGCTAAGAACAGATTGTGGATTAGTCATTCGTTAGGCCCATAACTAACTAACTAACTAGTTAACTAACTAACTAGTTAATTCTTGGCCTCTCTTAGCAATCCGGAATATATATTGCCCGGCTTCCGATCGCCCATCGGATGTCAAAGCATAGCGAATGTCAAAATCTATTTATCTGATGACCTAAGTATCCCAAGAATACAATGTAATTTATTACCCTCCTATACATCCAGATTAAAGAACCTCATTTTTGTTACTTAAGTAGGCACTTCTTAGCTAGAATCCTCGATTAGGCTTTATTTCTTCTTTGTATTCTTGATAGGAAAGGTAGTGCTGGTTTATTCTTAGGTATAGGCAAATTCTTCCATGTTTTGATCAAAGAACGTTCTTACAAACAGAGATATATAGTAGTGATAATTCAATCGCTGGTTATTCGTTGATATCGTCCGGTACTCTGATTATAAATGATCTATGCGTCCCCCGGCGGCGGTAGCTCTTTATGAAATCAGCGAGATCTTTCTCTTAGATAATTATTCGAGAGGCCAGGTCATCTTACCATATCTACAAGGTTCAAGGTGGGACGGATTTATATCGGGTCACCCACCTACTTTTTTTACAGTATGACTTTCTTCCTCGGAAAAAGAGAATCGTAGTGTGTAATTGCATGCCTCAGCCCTTTAGGGACACGTCTTGTCTATTCTCTAATACGCGAGGCCGCGAAGATACTCCTCTGATTTCAGTTTACTGATTTGGTAAGGAGGCAATGCTACACCCACCTCCTTGAATTACTACAATAACAAATATTCCTAGGACGGCAAAACGGTGGATATATGGGCAAGGTGCTACAACCTACTTTTAGACACTTTAGTTATCTCTGACGACAGATTGCGGTATGTAATTCTCTGGGAGTACCACCTAATCTCAAGTGTTTATTTTAGCCTCTCTATACCTTAATATACGAGATAGGCAGTCTATACACTACATCCATAGATGGCCAAGCCTCAACTTATAGAAAATAAACTCCATTTTTGATATTCCGAAGTCAGACCTAAGAGACTTCACGAAAGCATAGAAACCAGCTTGCGCATCCTCTCTTTGACATGTGACATAATAAAACTTCCTAGCTCCCTGTGCATAACTGGTCTCTCTTCGTCATCAAGATCTCCATACATATCCTCCAATGCCCCTCCATTGCTAGCGACTTCCATGTAAAGAGAGCGGTCCTCTTCCTTCTCGCCGATGCATACAAGAAAACTGCCAAGCTTAAGGAGTATCGAGTTCAAGATCAGACGACACGTACGTCCATTGCCGTCGATGAAAGGATGAATATTGACAAAGATGTGAGTATATTTCGAAGCAATGGCGATAGGGTCAATCGTTCCTTTAGCAATGACTTCTCTCATGTCAGACTGGAGTTCGCGGACCATTGCTTTCATTTTGTAAGGCACAAGGCTGTGATGAGGAAACGGATGGAGGCCCGCAGAAACTTCATCCGTACGATAGACACCACTGTATTCTTCCCAGGGAGTGCTTTCAGCGTCGACTTTGTGCGTAAGAATTTTATGAGTCTGGAGGATGATCTCTTCACTAAGATCTTTATCATAAACGCAGAGTTGACTAATCATATACGAGGCAGCCTTGGCATGTTGAACGATTTCACGGCGACTTCGTAAAACTGCGGAGACGTTTGCTGGCATATTCTTGCGTAGAAGCTCTTTTTTTAACTCTAAGAACTCTTCCTCCGTTTCTCCAATGTCCTCTGGTATTTCCTCCCCGCGGAAGATTGCCATGCAAAGCTTGAGTGTGATTTTGGAACCGCTTCCAGCGCGCTCGATCATGTTGGATCCGTACACTATAGTGGCAAGGCAATGGAGGACGTGATTTTCGAACTCACTTTCTTGCAGGGGTGTGAGTTGCTTTTGTAAAAGGACAGAGAGTTGATTGCCGAGGGTGATAATCTCAGGAAAAATGGTGTCCGGGTCGAAGTCTTGTGTACCAATCTTGTAATCGTAGGCTTCGTCCATGCAAATCGTAAACCGAGATTGCATTTTACTTAAATTGCGAGGAGAAACAGTTCCTTGTCCAAAGCGAAGAGTTGATTGCATGTAGTGGCGGATGGACTTGGCAAGGTTGATTCTAGTAGACGGCGGATGTAGATAGGGAGAGGGGGGTTTAATATCAAGTCCTTCGAAGACATTGGAGAGACTTCCATGTTTGCTCTTCGTCTTCTTGGTTGGAGAGGACATTTTCAAAGTCTCGATGTGAAAGAAGTGGAGACTCAATTGAGAAAAGGGAAGAAAGTAAGAGTTTGCAGATCGAGTGCTTAAGGAAAGTGGAGAGTTAAGGCTGAAGGAAGAAATGAGAAGAAAGTAAGAGCTTGCGGATCGAGTACCTTGAGTAAAGTGGGAAGACAAGGTTAAAGGAAGAACAAAGAAGTGAGAAGCGAGAAGTGAGAAGTGAGGCTGGAAGAATGTAGTCCAGTCAACATGTACAGGCAGATGGTTCCCCGGATCGACGTTCCAAAATAGGCTTAGTACCTTCTAAGAAAGCCCAAACAGGCCACGGTGGGTACCCAGGCTTGGCATAACTCTATATCCCATCCCTGGTTCTCGAAGAGTGGGAGCACCAGCCTATTATATGTAAGCGGAACATAAAACCTACAAAACCCAAGGTACAGTAGAGAAGCCATATTGTCGGAGGGACAGAAAGCTACGATGCCGGAAGATAGAAATGATGACAATACAGATATATTGATAATGGACTCTGGAGAGGAAAAGGAAGAGCGAGAGACTATAGAAACTATCTAACAGGAAGTCCTGGGGCGGAGTGGTCACAGTCACGTGATACACTCTCCAACACATATCCATAAGGCAATAGGTCTACAAAGAGTGCGTGGATGCATGCACCATCCACCTCCCACATCTCCTCTCTTCCCGCATCCCGCGTTAGCTCCTCCACGTCGAGCTCCTAGCCTGTTCCTGTGGCAAGATCAGACCCCGTTCTCCGTCATCCTCACTCCAACCTCGATTGTTGATTATCGTTCCTCAGCGCCCAGTCAGGCAGCTTGTATTCGAATAGCTGGGTAAGGCTCTCTGCTTCCTCAAGCGTGGTGGTTTGCAATGGTGAGTACTAGCGTCTTCAGGACTCCGCTCCGTGACCTCAAGCTCATCTGATTCATCCCCGGACTCTTATTCAGTAAATCAAGTGCTGTGAACGTATCCCAAGCAGCCACCGTACGATCTAGGTCCTTTCTATAATTCTATTGGCCTGGAACGAGCGATTGGTGGTGTCGCCTGTATCAGATGTTTCCGTTCCACAAAGTCTATTGTGCGAGCCGTTTTATGTGCCGCAGAGTGTTTTAAGAATAAGTACCAGTTGAAGCCCACCATTCCATTGGCAAGGTTGAGAAGTCTCATGGACCACTCAAGCGTGCATGGGAAATCCTGTCAGCAGAGCTCAGTGGGTTCACAAGTAATAAGGCTATACTTCAAATGGCAGTGAAAGCTGTTAATGACACAGCGGGACCAGATGGCTTGGTTCCTACCTTACTAGTCTTTGGTGCTTACCCTAGGATGACGACCGAATCACCGCCTTCACCTTCGACTACAAAACGAGCTGAAGCCATTAACAAAACGATGACCGCCCTACGGAAGGCCAATGCTGAACGACGGGTTAACGACGCGCTTCACACCCGAAACGGCCCCTCTACCTCCGAGGTTCTTTCGCTCCCGTTACAGAGTGAAGTATGTATCTAGAGGGAGAACGAAGGATGGCAAGGTCCGTACAAGATTGTTTCGATTGAGGGACACGACATTATAGTGGATATGGTGAACGGTCCCACAAGTTTCAGGTCTACACCAGTGAAACCCTACCACCGGGCGCCTAAGCAAGATACCACGGAGCCGGTCAGTCAACATGACCCCCCGCCACCTATCGTCGAGGCCCCTCAGCCCCGCCGACGTGGACGCCCGAGAGGTTCCAAGAACAAGACCGCGTCCGCCTTCCTGTCAAGAAAAAAAGGTGAACGATTTGGAACTGGCGATCAAGCTAAGAAATAATAGAGTCATCACGACACCTGGTGAACCATTCGAAGCTTCGGACACCAAGGAGATCGAAGACCTCTTTAACCAAGGAGTTTTTCGCTTTGAGAAGTACGACCCGACGAGTTACGGAGGCGAGCGCATCTTCAAGTCGCGGAGGGTAGGGGAAGTAAAGGCTGTGTCGTCAAAGCCTTACGAAAAGTCTCGACTTGTCATACAAGGCCACAATGACAAGGGAAAGGACACTATCCTAACCCAATCCCCAACCATCTAAAGAGCTAGCCAGCGCCTGCTTCTTGCCCTGGCCGCATGTCTAGGAACTGACACAACGCTGTCCATACGTGATATAACGCAAGCGTACCCTCAAGCCCAGTCGGAGCTACAAAGGATGGTCTTGGCGTACTTGCCGGACGTACTTGTTGACCAATACCCCGCCGGCACGATTCTAAGAGTGGTCAAACCGCTCTACGGCATTGCAGAGTCCGGCGTCCGCTGGTTTGCCACGTACCAACGACACCACGTCAACAACGTGAACATGTCACCTTGCACGTACGACCCATGCCTCCTAATTGCCAACGGCGAAAAGGACGAATTTGGTATGGTTGGCATGCAGACTGACGACACGTTGATTCTGGGCACGAAGATGTTTCTCGCCAAAGAAGAAGAAGAGATCCAGAGGGCGAAGTTCCGCACGAAACTAACGGTAACACTTTCGCCTGAAACATCTTTCGAGTTCAATGGCTGCAGACTGTCCCAGGAAGGGAGGTACATCCACCTGAGGCAAAAAGGTCAAGGATCGAAGATCAAGCCTATTGATCTGAACGACCAGAGCAGGGCGCAGAGATACTTAGAGCAACGTGCACGAGGTGCATACATTGCATCAATCTGTCAACCCGAAGCCGCCTTCGACCTTTCCGTTGCCGCACAAGCCCAGAAGCCAAATGACAGAGACCACATCCAACTGAACTCTCGCCTTGAATGGCAAATCAAGAACCTCGATCGAGGCCTACACTTTGCGCCAATCGACTTATCCACGGCAAAGCTTATGGTCTTCACTAATGGTTCATTTACGAACAATCAAGATCTTTCTTCGCAATTAGGATATGTACTGGCGATCGTGAATGAGACCACCGGCGATGACTCCTTTACGATGACTAGCAGCCTAATTCATTGGAGTTCTACCAAATATAGATGAGTGACACGCAGCGTTCTCGCGTCTGAAATCTACGGTATGGTCACAGGATTCGACTTGGGTTTGGCCATGACTACGACACTAAAGATGGTCACCACACGACTGGGAATCCCCGACATTCCCCTCGGGCCTATGGTCGTATGTATCATTGTATTCGTGGGAGAGGTATATAGAGTGAGAGATTTAGGTTGTAGAAAGGGCTGAGTACAACAATGATAGGCAGGGTGAGAATTGGGTGAGCGCCGCTTTATGGTCACGCAACCGGGGGTGAGAAGGTGTGCTATAGACAGGGTGAGAATCTGTGTGAGAACCCGGTGACAATCGCCCTACTAATACAACACTGGAAGTAAAGAATGTACGGAAGTGCGTCATTTCTGGTTGACGCTTTTTAGGGCTTTCAGTAGTACCCGGGAGCGAGATTTCTGCTGGAATATATATACTGCCTATAAGAACGGTATAAAGATAAAAGAATTAATCACTTTATAATTCTCTCCGACTATTCCGGCGGATGGCAAATATATTCCTATTTTTTAGATAATGTGGCTAGATATCGAGCTAATATAGGCTTGTAGGGGTCGCTGTCCTTCATATAAGCAAATATTGTCCTGGACTTTTCCTCCGCTTCTAGTATAATGCGCTCCTCATCGTTAAATCTATTATCATCTGGATCCTTCTAATAAAGCGTTCGATCGTTATTATCTACCTAGTTATCCACTACCTTTCCATTTGGAATAGGAGTAGTAATGCCTTTAAGGATCTTCAATAATCTGGAATCCCTTTCGCGCGATAGTCGTTTAAGTTGAGTATCTATATCTAGATCAGACTCTAGGACAGACGACTTAAAACCATGCGGCCCCTCTCCCTATCTATAAATATACAGAGATTCGAGATTAGGAGGTAAATGATCAATTAGATTAAAGGATTGAGGGCTAATCTGACCATCGGGGAATCAGTCCTAGCTGGATCCTATATCCCGCGCAAAATAGTATAGAGTGTGGATACCGAGACAGAGACTCTTGAGTTTCGGGAAATCTTTTAATAAGATATAGGATGGTGGAACTTCTAGCTTATGAGTGGCTAGATCATAAAGCTCGTCTGTGTATTGTTCTTCATAAAATTTCTATTTATCCTTATCGAGCCCTTCGTTCTTATCTAGCTGGTAATTTGTATTATAAAACTCTTGCTAATTTGTATAAGATTCTATATTAAGATCTAGTACCTCTAAGGTATATCGATAAAACTAAATAGACTAAAGTAATAGCGCTACGCTTAGTATAGTAATACCCCCTTCTGGGTCTTTTTGCTTATCTTCGGTAAAAGTGAAGCTCTTTAGTATTTTTGACGACTTAATGATTTAATAAAGATCATATTCCTATATTAAGGAGTATGTGAAGCTAATCTTACTATAATTGGTGTAGCGCAGTAGAAGTGGTAGTCCTACGTTATTATCCCACGATACTAATTTGAAAGTAACAGACTCAATAGCTAGCAGTTTTTGTACCACATTTAAGCAATTATAGTATGGATCTTCTATATATATTGTGCCCTGGTTTCGAGTATCATCTAGGTAGAAGTTGATCTCCTTAAGATTTTAGTAGTATAGAACTAAGCCGGGTACTGCTTTAGAAGCTCGCTAGAGAAGTGACTTAAGCATATTTTAGGGAAATTCTAGGGGATATATAGATAGGGATTTAAGGTTAGGGGCATTTACGGCTAGTATCATAATAAGCGTATCTCTAAACTCGATTGCTTTCGGATAAGAGGGAGATCTATTCCAGAGTAAGTCATATAATATTAAGGTATATATATAGAGGGAAAATAATTACCTAAAGTAGAGCGATCTTACCAAAGGATAGATAGGATAGATTCTCGATCTTAGACTTTTTCTACGCCGGCCTTCTTAAGGGCCTGCTTGAGTCTATGGATATCCTCTGGAGAAAACGATCGTTAAGGAACGGGCTCGGATTCGTAGGGAGGAAAGCCGGAGCCCGTTTCACTCCCATACAAGACTAGGCGACGAAGATAGCCTCCGAGAGAGGGGTTGGCCAAGGTTTCAAGCAGCATGTTCTGACCAGCCTGCAGCTGGACTGTAAAAATCTCCTGTCCTTCTCGGCCAAGCTGAAATTGATGATATTTTTGGCGATTGGAGACATCGCTGGTACTATGCAGCCCTCGATTTTGGTACGACAAGGCCACAACATCCCCCACAGTAGGGAGACTGTTGATAATTTTGACGAGCACTTCAGGAGGAAGATTTTGTAATGGCATTCTTCGTGAGTGTATAGTGACAAAAAGAAGCCAGATCGACTCGCGGAACATCTTCAACTTCTCGATGACATGGAAGATTATCAAAAACCCAAAATCGACCGGCTTTATGCTACAGAATATCCACATGTGGATGGACAAAATTGCGACGAATGCGATTCACACTCGGTAGTTGTCCGCCCAGAGCGCCAAAACCACCGTGCTCTCTATGTTCACTATGGAAATATTGCGTCAGGGAATTCTGTACTCAAGGACGCCATTGTGCGGGATATGTTCGCAAGAGACCCAGAGCTGAATATCATGTGCTTTGAAATGGAGGCTGCAGGTCTCATGAACAATGTCCCATGTCTGGTTGTTCGCGGAATCTGTGACTATTGTGACTCCCATAAGAATGACGACTGGCACAAATATGCTGCACTCGCTGCTGCTGCGTATGCACGAGAGCTACTCCTGGTCCTGAAGCCGCAACGTGTTGATGCTTTGCCTCCCTGGACCGAGCGAGTAGCTCAAGGAATTCAACAAGGTTAGAACCATTCTTTCTAATCCAATAACTATGTATGCATTATTTGTGCGAAACTCAAACATTATGATGAACATATACTATAGTATAGTATATCTCTCGGTTTGTACCATTACTCATTTGGGACAGTGTACTGACAACGTCTAGTTGGTCAGGAGGTGAGTAGTCTCAACAATACCCAAAAGTAGCCTAAAATTCGATCTATCACGGTCAAGTATTTTAACGCTAACTCTGTATAGGATTGTTTTGACGACTGTGAGGAATTTGGACCAGAAGAATGATCTTGGAAAGTTGGAAGGTGTGATAGAGGCAGCGTTTGATTCATTCTCTAACCGAGACGAAGTTCAATGTCTCCAGGGTACTAGGACTGAGCTTCTCCAGCAGATAATGGAATGGGCTATGTCACTGTCCCAAAAAGCCATTTTCTGGTTGAAAGGCATGGCTGGGACAGGAAAATCCACCATATCGCAGACGGTGGCCAGGTCGCTGAAGGACAGCAACCACCTAGGTGCCAGCTTCTTCTTCAAGAGAAGTGAGGGGGATCGAGGGAACGCAAAGAAGCTTTTCCCGACACTTATAAGGCAACTGATGCTTAGGATTTTTGAGCTGAGGTCTGGCGTGCGAGAAGCACTCCATGATGACCCTGATATTGCGATAAAATCGCTAAAAGAACAATTCGAGAAACTACTCCTTCAACCGCTGCTCAATCTTAACCAACTCGGCCGACAACCTCAAATTGCTGTGATAGTGATCGATGCTTTAGACGAATGTGAACATAATCAAGATGTCCGAACCATAATTCAATTGCTACCTCGTCTACAGAAGGCAAAAGCGCTTCGCATTCGGGTCTTCTTGACTAGTAGGCCTGAACTTCCAATCAAACTCGGCTTTTCAGATATCGTGGATCATGATTATCGGGATCTAGCTCTTCATGAAATACCTAAGGAAGTGACAGAACACGACATACGGTTGTTTCTCCACGATCGATTTACGAAGATCCAACACGATAGGAATATTTCTCAAGACTGGCCTGGCGATAATGTGGTCCAGAAAATAGTCAAAATGTCTGTTCCTTTGTTTATTTCAGCTGCTACTATTTGCCGATATATCGAGCGCTCAAAATTGGAACCCACAACACGTCTGACAGAGCTCCTTAAGGATTCACGTCGGTATACAGGGAAAATGGATAATCCATACCTGCCAATTCTAAGGCGACTCCTAGACGATGAAGAGAGTGATAAGTCAGAGCAGCAGCAGCTCCTATACCAGTTCCAGAAAATAGTCGGTGCTATCATCCTTCTTGCTGTTCCGCTTTCAACAAACGCGCTGTCGCTATTTCTTGGAATAGAAGTAAACCAGATTAGCAATCTGTTGGATTCTTTCCGGTCTGTTCTAAGCGTTCCTAGTGATCGAGATCTGCCTGTTCGGATTCTACATCTTTCTTTCCGAGATTTTTTGGTTCAATCCGAAAGTGAATTTCTTGTTAACGAGCCAAATAAGCATAAGGAAATTGCTTTGTTGTGTCTCCAAAAAATGAGAAGCTATCTGCGGAAAAATATCTGCGATCTAGAAGGCCTTGCAACCCGTAGGGCCGACACTAATCCTCAATCCTTACGCCAGCACCTACCGCCAGAGCTATAATACTCATGTCGCTACTGGATATATCACCTCAAACAAAGTTCTATCTCGTCCTCGGAGGCAGAGTTTGTGTTACTGTTTCTCCATGAGCATTTTCTACACTGGGTTGAAGCAATGAGCCTACTTGGTCTTGTATCACAAGTGGTAGGGATGCTGAATCTTCTCCAGAAGATTGAACTAGTATGTCCCACTGGAAGTCATATAAAATCTACACTACTAGAACAAGGGCGATCACCATGCCGTAATTTCAGAGTTTCTGCATGACGCAAAGCGCTTTGTCTTAAAGAACCGCCAAATGGCCGATGATACGCCCCTTTAACTTTACTACTCAGGACTTGTCTTTACACCTAAAGAAGCGATAGTCTGTAGGAAATTTGAAGAAGAAATTCCGGATTGGATATATCCATTGCCACGGGTTCAGGAAAACTGGAGTTCCGAATTGCAGACCCTCAAGGGCCATTCAGACTGGGTCAGGTCGGTCGCCTTCTTACCCGACAGCGCGCTGCTGGCATCTGGCTCCGCTGACAAAACTGTGCGCCTCTGGGACACAGCGACAGGAGTGCTACAGCAGACCCTCGAGGGCCATTCTCAATCGATTCGGTCGGTCGCCTTCTCACCCGACGGCGCGCTACTGGCGTCCGGCTCCGATGACAAAACTGTGCGCCTCTGGGACACAGCGACAGGCGTACTACAGCAGACCCTCGAGGGCCAGTTAAACTAGGTCATATCGGTCGCCTTCTCACCCGACGGCGCGCTGCTAGCGTCCGTCTCTCATAATAAAACCGTGCGCCTCTGGGATATAGCGATAGGCACACTACAGCAGACCCTCGAGGGCCATTCTGATTTGATTACGTCGATCGCCTTCTTACCCGACAGCGCACTGCTAGCATCCGGCTCCCATAACAAAACCGTGCGCCTCTGGGACACGGCAATAGGTATACTACAGCAGACCCTAGAGGGCCATTCTAATTCGATTCAGTCGGTCGCCTTCTCACCCGACGGCGCGCTACTAGCATCCGGCTCCTATGACAATACTATACGCCTCTGGGATATAGCGACAGGAGCGCTACGGCAGATCCTTGAGGGTCATTCAAACACAGTTTGGTCGGTCGCCTTCTCACCCGACGGCGCGCTGCTGGCATCCGGCTGCTATAACAGTACCGTGGGCCTCTGGGACACAGCGACAGGAGCGCTACGGCAGATCCTTAAGGGTCATTCAAACACGGTTTGGTCGGTCGCCTTCTTACCCGACGGCGCGCTGCTGGCATCCAGCTCCGCTGACACCACTGTGCGCCTCTGGGACACAGCGACAGGCGCGCTGCAACAGACTCTTGGAGCCAATGAGCTAATCACTGACGTTCAATTTGATCACGATGGATCCTCTCTAATCACTAATCTGAGATCCCTTGATGTTCAATATCGGTCTGAACATCATGCGACTATTTCAAACAATGTGAATCTGGGGATCTTCATCGAGCAACAGTGGATCAAGCTGAACGGCAAAAACGTTCTTTGGCTTCCTCCTGGGTCTCGGCCTCGCTGTTACGCGATCAATGGCAAATTACTTGCCCTAGGACACGCATCAGGGCTCGTTTCATTTATAGGATTCCATTTCTAGCAGTTGTCAATCATTTAGATTACGGTTCCTTCCTATATTTTCTAGTTTTTGTGTAAAAGAAGGGCCTGGGAGGAGAAGTCAATTTATATGGCTCTACGGTATTGGTGGAGTGTTCCAATTAGTTCCACCAGGTTCTAAATTCGATACACTCTGTTCCGATGTGGTTTGTCATACTTGACCAGTTCCAGTCCAATGAGTCCATTAGTAGATCTAGGAGGCTCCGAACATAGGAACCATAAGCTAAGGCGGAGTAAACATATACATAAAAAACATACCTTCAGGGCTTTGGTGGAGGCCCTCGCCAAGACTTGATGATCGCACGCATAGCTACTTGATGTGCACTCAGTTGACGGTCTAGCGCCTTGGCAATGGAGTCCATCATAATTGAACGAGTGCAAATTAACGACGCCAATTTTGCATTTCTCTGTATTTTGTCACTTGGATGTGGGGAGTGGGAGAGAGAAGTGAGACCTTATCATATTCTCAAGGCCAACACCTGATTTGTTCGCATATCTATAGAAAGTTCTGGCCATAATGGCTATTCCATACAATGACGATACATGGAGTATTGTATCGCTTGGCGTAAAGTACCGAAAAGGTAATTTAACGGGAATATTGATACTCCGGGGCTAGTCCTCATACAGTATAGTGTGTCTGGGCATTAGGGTCCGGGAAGCAATCGAAGAGTGTAGGTGGTGACACCAATTTCGGGAACTACTGTAATATGATCGGAATTTCGGGAACTACTGTAATATGATCGGCTAGTGACTGTACTATAGAGGGAACTACCTAGCGGCGGTACACGAGACCCAATCGACTGTAGAGTGAGTTACTGTGACCAATGGCGGGACGGGCCGCGATGCGAACCCCTGAACCGCCCGACCGTGACGAACGCGAAGATTCGCTACCGCGACTGGCGAGACCGAAACGCACCACTCGACCACCGAACAACTACGCTCGTGAGCAGGAAATTGATACTGATCGACGGAAGACGCGTTCCCAGCAAAAGGAGAGAATTGAGCTAGGAGACCGGCGTGACGAGGCAACTTCGGACGACGCCGCGACCGAGCGCGAAGAGCTCGACGTCGGCGGTTTGGTGAGAGAGATCGCCAAACTCAGGCGAGAGATCAGACTCCGTGACGAAATACACAAGGAAGAAATTCAGAGAACCAGAGAACAGTTCGGTGCCGCCCTCGCGGAGGTCCGACACGAGCTACAGTCCCTGACGAATAGAAACACGACACCGCAATGCCACTCTGAGACGTGCTCTCAGAACAACCACGATGCGATCCTGCGCGAAATTCAGTCCTTACGCGAGGAAATCAGTGTTCCCGCTGTTGCAGGCTCTCCTTCCTACGCAGATGTCGCGCGCACTCCGCCGTCCAGTTACCCAAGCAACATACGGACCCTTTTAACGCTGAACACGACACCCACCACCTTTACGGACACGCTCTTTTGCACGGTAGATACCTCGAAGATGGCAGATAAAGGGACAGGATTGACCTCCGCAGGCTCGGTCAGAGCAGCGGTTGAGGCAGAGATGCAGTTAATAGAGGGCCACGCGCACTGGCGCTGTCGCGCTGTTACCGTTGACCAGAAAAACGCCAACCGGATCAGGATCGCCTGCCGGGATGAGGATGAACAGCAGCTGGTCAAAAAGGTTGCAGAACAGAAAATCGGGGCGGGAGCTCGGGTCCTCCGTGACGAGCTCTACCCGATCAAAGTCGACAGCGTCAACAAGACCTCCGTGCTAGACGAGAGCGGTAAGGTCCGAACCGAGGCTGCAGCAGCGTTTAGTGAGGAGAATGAGACCAACGTAGCCAAGATTTCATGGCTGAGCGGAAAAGAGAGCGAGAAGGCCTATGGTTCAATGGTGGTTTACCTGACCAAACGCATCGACGCGCGAAGGCTCTTGGCCGACGGATTTTTCCACGCGGGGGGAGAATCTGGTGTGACTAGTATCTTCGAACACCGACCGCGACCGACACAATGTTACAACTGCCAAGAGATAGGCCATAAGGCATTCCAGTGCAAGAACGCCCAGAAATGCGCGAAATGTGCTACAGAGGGCCATCGCCACAGCGACTGTATCCAACCGGTTCCAAAGTGTGTACCGTGCGGAGGGCCTCACGAATCGTACAGCAAGAACTGCCGGAAGCTCTATCCATCACGTCATGAATAATTCTCTTCGAATAATTCAGCTGAACGTGAGGAAGCAGGGTGCAGTGCACGAGAGTTTAATGAATGACGAAGACACTCAAAACGCGGTGGCGCTAGCGATCCAGGAACCTCAAGCGAGGAGGATTCAAGGCCGGCTCTTGACCACTCCAATGGGGCATCACAAGTGGACAAAGATGGTGCCCTCCACCTGGAGGGAGGGGAGATGGGCGATTCGGAGCATGCTCTGGGTCAACAAAGAAGTCGAAGCGGAGCAAGTCCCTGTACAGTCTCCAGACATCACAGCAGCGATGGTCAGGCTCCCCGAGCGACTGATCTTTATGGCATCGGTTTACGTTGAAGGAGGCAATATCTCAGCCTTGGACGATGCGTGCAATCATTTACACGATGCGATCACAAAAGTACGACGAGAGACAGGCGCCGTGGTGGAGATTCTGATGGTGGGGGACTTCAACCGACACGATCAACTCTGGGGTGGAGACGAGGTGTCGCTGGGAAGACAAGGAGAAGCGGATCCGATCATTGGCCTCATGAATGAGTTTGCGCTCAGTAGCTTGCTTAAACGCGGCACCAAGACATGGCACGGCGGCGGACAAAGTGGAGACTGCGAGTCTACCATCGATCTCGTCCTAGCTTCAGAAAATCTGACGGACTCCATGACAAAATGTGCTTTACTCGAGACAGACCACGGCTCTGATCACTGCGCCATTGAGTCCGTGTTCGACGCCCAGTGGTCGGGCCCAAAGCACCAAGAGCGACTTTTACTGAAGAATGCACCATGGAAGGAGATTAACGCCAGGATTCAGAACGCTCTGGCCATCCTTCCGTCGGAGGGCACGGTACAGCAGAAAACGGATCGACTCATGTTGGCAGTGTCCGAAGCGGTGCACGCTTTAACCCCGAGGGCGAAACCATCACCACATGCGAAGCGATGGTGGACAGCTGACCTCACTCAACTCCGTCATATATATACGTACTGGAGAAACCGTGCTCGCTCCGAGCGACGGGCGGGGCGAAAAGTCCCCCGGCTCGAAACGATGGCCCAGGATGCGGCCAAACAATACCACGATGCCATTCGTAAACAAAAGAAGAAGCACTGGAACGAGTTTCTCGCAGACAACGACAACATCTGGAAAGCCGCCAAGTACCTCAAGTCAGGAGACAATGCCGCGTTCGGGAAGATTCCGCAGCTCCTCAGAGCCGATGGAACCACTACGAACGATCACAAGGAGCAAGCGGAGGAATTGATATCCAAGTTCTTCCCGCCTTTGCCAGAGAACATCGACGAGGAAGGAGTGAGACCACAAAGAGCGCCTGTAGACATGCCAGCCGTCACTATGGAGGAGATAGAGCGGCAACTGTCAGCGGCCAAGTCGTGGAAGGCACCTGGTGAAGACGGCCTACCGGCGATCGTTTGGAAGATGACGTGGCCTACAGTCAAGCACAGGGTCCTCGACCTCTTTCAAGCCTCGCTGCAAGAGGGCACACTGCCAAGACAGTGGAGACAGGCCAAGATCATACCGCTCAAGAAGCCGAATAAAGATGACTACACCATTGCAAAGGCATGGAGACCTATCTCACTCCTTGCGACACTCGGAAAGATACTCGAATCGGTGATCGCAGAGAGGATCTCGCACGCGGTGGAGACGCATGGACTGCTCCCGACGAGCCACTTTGGGGCTCGAAAGCAGCGGTCCGCAGAGCAAGCACTGGTATTCCTGCAGGAGCAGATCTATGCGGCGTGGCGTGGCCGACGAGTGCTGAGCTTGATCAGCTTCGATGACAAGGGAGCCTACAACGGAGTATGCAAAGAACGACTGATCCAGAGGATGAAAGCCCGAGGTATACCGGAGGTCTTGCTTCGTTGGGTTGAGGCCTTCTGCTCGGAACGAACGGCAAATATCCTGATCAACGGGCAGTTATCTGAGACTCAAAGCTTGCCACAAGCTGGGCTGCCGCAGGGCTCGCCCCTGTCTCCGATTTTATTTCTGTTTTTCAATGCAGACCTCGTGCAAAGACAGATCGACAGCCAGGGAGGAGCAGTCGCTTTCGTGGATGATTTTACCGCGTGGGTGACCGGTCCGACCGCGCAGAGTAACCGGGAAGGAATTGAAGCCATCATCAACGAGGCGCTCAACTGGGAAAAGAGAAGCGGAGCGACATTTGAGGCTGATAAGACGGCTATCATACACTTTGCTCCCAAGATGCGTAAATTGGACCATGAGCCATTCACCATCAAGGGGCAGACGGTGGTACCCAAAGACAACGTTAAGATCCTGGGTGTCTTGATGGACACGAGACTCAAGTACAAGGAGCATATCGCGAGAGCAGCGTCTAAGGGTCTCGAAGCAGCGATGGAGCTTCCGCGACTCCGAGGCCTCTCCCCAGCAACCGCGCGACAGCTATTCGCATCGACAGTAGCACCAGTAGTGGACTACGCCTCCAATGTCTGGATGCACGCGTGCAAGGATAAAGCCATGGGGCCGATCAACCGAGTCCAAAGAGTAGGCGCGCAAGCCATTGTGGGGACATTTCTCACAGTCGCGACTAGTGTCGCAGAGGCGGAGGCTCACATGGCTACTGCACAACGTCGATTTTGGAAACGAGCCGTGAAAATGTGGACAGACATCCACACCTTGCCGGAAACCAATCCTCTTCGCCGGTGTACAGATCAGATCAGAAAGTTCAGAAGATACCACCGCTCACCACTGTATCACGTAGCCGATACGCTCAAGCACATCGACATGGAGACATTAGAAACGATCAACCCCTTCACGCTATCCCCGTGGGCGGAACGCGTACAAACCGACATTGATGAGCAGCATAAGTCCCTGGCCGAAGCAGGCGGGTGCACGCAGGTCGCGGTTAGCAGCTCTGCACGAAACGAGCTGGTGGGTTTTGGAGTGGCCATCGAGAAGCGACCACCTCGGAATCGGAAGCTTAAACACAAAGCGCTATCCATCACCTTGGCTGCAAGGGCAGAGCAGAATCCATTCTCTGCGGAACTGGCAGCCATGGCACATGTATTGAGCACGGCGACAGGACTGAAAGACTACACGATCACGCTGCTCACAAGCAACAAAGCGGCGGTTCTCACACTCAGGAACCCTCGACAACAATCTGGCCAGGAGTTCGTGTGTCGGATATACAAGTTGATTAAAAGGTTGCAGAGAAACGGAAACCATGTTCAAGTCCGCTGGGTTTCTGCCAGTGAAGACAACAAGCTGCTAGGTCTGGCTAAAGAACAGGCTAGAGCCGCGACACAAGAAGATGCCCTCTTGCAAGAACGCGCCCCAAGGATAAAATCAACCACGCTGAATCTCGCACGGTCTCAAGCAGTCCCCAGAAATACCCTGCCAGCGGACGTCGGAAAGCACGCCAAACGAGTAGATGCAGCACTCCCAGGAAAACACACGCGACAGCTGTATGATCCCTTGTCATGGAAGGAAGCGACCGTGCTAGCCCAACTCCGGACGGGCATGGCGAGACTGAATGGATACCTCTATCGAATCAACGCGGCCGACACGGATCAGTGTGCGTGCGGACAAGCTAAGGAGACTGTGGAGCACTTCCTCTTTCGATGTCGGAAGTGGACCACACACCGGACGGATATGCTACAATGTACCGACACTCACCGAGGAAATCTGCCCTTTTACCTGGGAGGGAAGTCGCCTTCCGACGATCAAAAGTGGACGCCAAACTTAGAGGCAGTACGGGCCTCAATACGATTCGCCATAGCCACAGGCCGCCTCGAGGCCACTTAACCCCGCCGACGAACATAAATCACCCCTCTTTCATTCTAACCTAACCCACCAACCACCTCGTGCTACTCACGGTGGACGCGCTTCAACTGCCGAAGATAGGATGTTGAACACTTGGAGAAGCGCCTTCAAGCCAGTCTACTAACCGCATTACTAACCCACGAGCATCCGCTGCGACACTGCATGCTGAGAATGACAAATACGCCAAGGTCTTGTGTATGGGCTCCAGTGAGTCACAGAATTGTATATACTATGACATGTATAGTAGTTTAGCGATAGTTGCCCTTTCGGCTCAGCCGCCGGGCGTTAATGAATTGTGTGTGTGTGTGTACTGGTCCGTGCCACAACCCTATAGATCTTTCTCTAATAAAAAAAAGCTATTTGTCAGGGCGTCGAGAGGAAAGTAGGCCTAGGAAATAAAATTGGATCTAGATGGTAGTGGTACCCCGGTCCAAAAAGCGTGTCGTAAAGAGTGTCGCAAAGAGTGTCGCAAAGAGTGCCACAAAGCGTGTCGCAAGGGTTGTAGGCTTATTGCCATAGATTTCATCATAATACATCTGAAGAGTTGTGGACATTTAAATTCGCAGATCTCGCATAAAAAGCCGTGACTTGTCGTCCTACCTTGAGCCCAGAGATATTATACGCTTTATATCTGTATATTGTTCTTCAATATTGTTCTCCAATCCTTAGATCAAAAAAATGGTCTTCTCTATCTTCCTGCTTCTCGTTAGCGTCTATATACGCGCTGCCTTAGGTGACACTTTCACAGTTATCGATTATGACCGTCAATGTGTGATATGGTCTGATGATAATCATGGCTGTACCGGGTACTCAGCATCTTTTGGTCTCCTTGATGGGGATAGCTGTTCAGGTAAATAATAATCTACATATATACGATTGGCATTAACGAAGCTAGATATAAGCAATGTTATACATGGTACCCGAAAGGAATACTCTACATTAGATGTGGAAGCTTGTGGCAAAATTCAAAATCTACCTGTTGCATGGATTGAAGTAAACAAGAACGGCATTGTTAAATTTTTCAATCAACTTGGAGATGAGTCAGAATGTCCATTGGACCACGGATTAAAGGTTGGAAGCTCATGCACTGCTTCTGACATACATTCATCGACATCGTCTACATCGACATCGTCTACATCGACATCGTCTACATCGACATCGTCCACATCGACATCGTCCACATCGATATCGTCTCTATCACCCGCATCAGCGTCATCAATTCAGATCTCTAGCTGCACTAGTTCTAGAGAAGAGAATCATTAGGGACTATGCAAATGTGCTTAGCCTTCCAGCTATCATTCATGATTTTATCTCCCGCTCTTATTGACCGATTACTATATCTTTCTCTCCTTACTGTACTTACTCTGATAGAATCGTATTTTACGATCCTAGGGTGCTCAGAGAAAGGTCCGATAGTATTTAGAGCTCTTTGGGTATGGTTTTTTCCTACCAGGTTTCCCATACTACTAGCGTGAATGCGAAAGAGACTTCATTACGTTTTTGTTCTCTATAAATTTTATAGAATTCTGACTTGTGACCTCGTTTTATAAAACTAGCTTATGAAAGTATATATGATACTCTTTTCTTCCGAAAGGAACTGGCATATGACATTAGTCATAACCAACTAGTGAAGAGGGGACCCTGCAACGGGGGACAGCAGGGGCACCGGCAGCCCTGCCTGCGAAACAGGTGTAAGAGGAGAGTCGTCGTCACTTGGAGTAGTAGGGTGCTAGAGAGGAGAAAACCATAGGATAATTACTAAGAATGGAAGTGGAAAGGTGTCTGCGTTACTATCTCTGCCTCAGGAGTGCTTTTTATGTCGGAGTATGCAAGTCAGCATACCGGACGATACCGGAAGATCTATTAATCCTAATTATGCGCATTGTTTATTTTGGTTTATGTAATCATGGCTCCGTAACTAACTAACTAACTAAATTGCGAAGGGAGCGAATACAGAAATACAGACTGATTGAAGCCATTGATTGGACACCCATTATTACGGATACCAGTTATCCAACATTTTATCACATTGCTGCTTAGTCATCCTATACTGGAATCTCCCCTCCGTACTAGTTAGTTAGTTAATGCAGTGGGGAAGATCAGAATCCCTAGTATAGTTGCTTTATCCTTCAGGCAGAGAAAAGATAGAGCCCCGGTTGTGAAGTAGAGTTTTGAAGAGCAGGCAGTCTAGCGTTACCCCTGAAATAAAAAAGCGAGTTGCGAGTTGTTCGTGTGCTAGGAGATTGTATACTATGGTGTGGTCTATGTGATCCCTATACTTGCTAGCTGACCGTCCTGGATGGTTGGTATTGTTGTGTCGCTCTCATCTTGCCTGTATGGCCAGACTGCCCATCGTGCATATCCCTCTTCGATAACTAAGTATTGGATTTGTACCCGGTACGGTCCGGATATACGTGGGTTCCTTCCGAATCCATCCATGGATACTATCTCGTATGCCCTTCCTAGCAATTGCTACTAATATGCGTCGTTTTCCTTGGCCTTCTATTTGATTGACCTTTCTAAGACTGTATCCTGCTTTATTGCATCGCATTGATTACTATAACTATACTGGTTTATCCTTTGGTGTTAACTATATCATACTCTATAGCACGCTCCGCTACCGCATTTTCTGAATCCATGAGTCGTGGTAAAATCTCCCAGGAGTGGTATAATATCAGGCTAAACGTCCCCCCTCCTCCTATGCCTCCTGTCCTGACGTATACGGAAGATGGTCGCAACGGACCTACACGTGAAAACGGGCAATAGCACTGTCAACCTCGAACCTGTGATATGTTACGTGATAATTCGATCCAGAAGAATGAGTACAATTCAAACCAAATTCTAAGTACAAGGGAAGAAAGGAAAAGAGAAAAACTACTGTGCGCTCGCTCCTCCCCTACCCCTGCCGCCGTTCGTGGAAGAAGCGAGGGTGTGAGGGTATAGGTCGTTCCTGCTGGTTTGGCAAGTGCGATCCTTCCTAGATCGTAACATGATAGCGTATGTTATTAGATATGAGGCAGATGATGAGTGTGAGAAATGCAGTAAGGCGTATGGCCCTTTCACAAAGTATATGGTGGTCGAAGGCGAGTTATAAGGCTCATACGCCAATTGCCATTGGATAGGAGGTGAAGCCAAGAGTCTAATGTCAAATACCTTCATTTCTTGTAATAGATAGTATTAACGATACTACCCTAATTAGTGCTCTGTACCTAGTTGTGATCCAAGCTTATGAACTCCATGAATATATCATCTATAGAGCTTATATCCGAATCTTCAAAACTAGTTGGCAGAGTGGCGGCAAGAAAGCAATCTTCAGTGCTCGGCAATGTTTCACCTCCAGAAGTCATATCCGAATCTTTAAAAGTAGTTGGCAGAGTGGTAGTGAGAAGAAAATCATCTGGGCTCGGCAATATTTTATCGCTTAAGCTCTCAAAATGACTTTCTGTAAGCTCTGGCTAAAGCTGCCACTTCCTCTTTCGTGTAACATAATTTAACTGAGGCTCTTCGATCGAATGTATATTAAAGAAGTGCTATTTGAGATGCATATTGTTAATATAATTCGTTTCTTCGCAGTATGGATAGGGGCAAAAAACTGCGGCTGAAGAGTCTGTTAACCCTAAGTGTTTGTCAATATGATTTAAAAGGGTTGATTTCGTAAGCTATTATTAAAATCTCTCGTCTGGTATCTTTCTTTTGTCACCTAAGCAAAACGGATAGAAACCTAGGGTAATAAGTATGGAGCGAAAGGTCAAGAGACTATATCGGGGGTTAAGGCTATTAAGATAATATTTATAATGAGTATTCTAGGAATCTTCGTTAAGAAAGATTTCAGCGTAAAGATAATAGAATTGAATAAAGTGGCGCTATACGCGGCGGTAGGCGCGTTTTTCGTTCTTATAGCGCTGCTGGTATTGCGCGCCATTTAAGGATTTCCTTCAATACTATAGGATATGGTTGGCTCTCCCTTATAACGGAATTCTGTCTTCTTATCAATCTTTTAATCTATAAGACTTTTCAGGTAAACTTACTCTAGTATAGACTTATTGTATATTGGACAACGGCCTTCCTCGGGGGCTATACTAGGATAGTAAATAGCATGTTCTGTTGACGTGTAAATAGTGACTATATCTTCTAGGTACTGACGACCAATTTCACTATCTAGAGTTACTTCCTTTAATAGATTTTCGCTAAGACGGGCGCGCTCTGGTAAATATTTCTTATATATATCGAAAAGAGGTATTGAGTCGCGTTCAGAGAAGTTGTTCCTAGACACGTACTCAGCGTATAAGGTATCCTACCAATTTTTAATAAAATCTTTTTTCTAGGCTAGCAATCTTTTTGCTTTCTTACTATAAAGATAAGACCGTTTAAATATAAGATCCCTGTTTTCTTCTAATTTTCTAGTAATCTCCTAGGTTATATAGGCAATTCTCTGATTTATTGTAATAATTTTATCGTTAGCTTAGAATTTTACGAATGTGGCTATATTAAGTCGGAGTGGTATATTCGAATCTCAGTAATGTGATATACTTTATTCTATATTGTGGTATTCGTAGTCAGGCTCTAGATTATAGAATAAGGCCTGTAAATCCAATGCCTTTAGAGGAGACTGATATTTTAGATAGGTATTATGATTCTAGTAATTAAGAGCCTGACCACGAGTAGCCTAAGAAGCCTTAGCTGAAATTCCTTAGTAATATTAACGTATAAGAGGGTATAAATGTACTTACAGTCGATCTTATTTATAATACCTCCTCGAATTCTATATATATGTAACGGGTCTTTAAACCTATTACGCTACGCTAAGCTAGTGAAGTTATGCCATAATAAGGAGAAGGTTAATACCCTTATTAATTAGGGTCCTTTAGAATTGACCATTCTAAAGAATGGCAGATATTTTATAGTTTCGTTCTATTCTAAAGTCTATAACTCTCTTCCCTTAGGTAGCTTTACGGTAAGAACCTCTATTATAGTAGCAAGCCCTTTAAAGGCGCTATCCGCTACCCTATAAACGATTACCTAGAAGATAAAACTCTTTCTAAGAATTAGATGCTCCCTATACCAATTCTTTAGCCTAATTTTCCTTAGTTAATTCTAAGTAGAATGATTATAGCTCGTAAACTTATAAGGCGGTATTATCGCGATTATACCGGCCTTTTAGGAATTCGGGATCAATTGTGACCTAATGTATTAGAGACCCACTGTTCTCGCTCTATTTAAGATGAAATTGAAGGTACTAATAATTATTGGTCAGTTTTAATATAACCAGGAATAACAATACAAACCCTATAATATAAGCATTCATTTGAATCGCGATAAGAACTTGATTCGATGATAGCTCCTGCTCTTACACCTAAGCCAGTAAATAAAGAGAGAGAACTTCCTATCTGTACGCGTACTCTCTCGTGTATATAGTCGTGACAGTTATCTATAAATAGACGTTGAAGCAGATAATCTATATCCTTTCCGTTAACCAGAAAGCGCTCTCTCGGCTTTATAGGGAGCTTGTATGTCACTGTTAGTTTAGTTCTAATAGACTTTTGTTTTCCTTATTAGCGGTATACTCTAGAAGGATAATTATTGCCTCTTACGTTAAGAACGTCTTCCTTGATTTCCTTAGGAAGGGATCGAGAAGTTTCTCGCTCCCACTTTGATATAAAGCTGGTGATTTGATTACAAACAGTCTGTTAACTCGGAACATTTTTGCATGATTTAATGTAAAACTCTGCGAGAAGTTTTAAAAGTTTGGGAGTTAGAATAGGTAGGTCGGAAAAATTCGGGTCTATAGACTTATTGCGGGAAATCCTCTACCTACTAACAATTAGGAACTTAGATCCATAAAGACGAGTCAAACTTATAGGGCCCAATTTTGAACTACAGAATCGTATTTTTCTAGCGTAGCAGGCGCTAGCTCACAGTGGCAGATAGTATTACCCTCTTTTTCCTTCTCAGTTTGATATTCGCATATAAAGCCATGTGATATCGCACGTGCGAGACGCTCCTAGAGTACTTTCGGGATATTCTTTTCGGAGAACATATTTTAGATAGTCAAGAAATTCAAAGAAAATCATAGTAGGATTAAGAGAAGGGCCTCGGGGTTTGGATTTATATTTATTCTTAGGATGGGCATAAGTTCGGAGTTGGCCTATATCACCCTAAGGGTGAGAATTGTCACCCCGTTCTCACCTCTCTCACCCCAGTCTCAAGACTTCTCACCCATATCACCAGCACTCACCCTGGAGTGCCGCTTAGGTGCTGAGGGCGCATTGAGTATTGGCTGTGCATAACAAGGGGCTTGAGTACGGCTGAGCGGACGGGAAGCCCTGTTTTCCACACCCTATGGTCGTATGTACCAGTTTACGTATCAGAAAGGATTAACCAACTATAGGATAGTTAGTTTATAATCAACTAGAAGAGGTGGGTGCACAATCGACAGGGTGAGAATCGAGCTCCATAGAATCCCATGTTTGAGAAGTTGTAACAAGAATGTACCCCTTTGGTCGGTAGCTATGACAAGTATGTCCTTTAAGCCTAGCGAGGCCATATACCTCGTTCGACATTTAGTATACCATCCTTCTGCCTCAATAACTACTTGCACACGTCACGGCATATAACCAGTAAAGTACTCAAGACGATTCTTCCTTTTTGACAGCTGGTATAATAGTAGGAGGGGGCCACTTAAGAGCACCCACTGTACATACGTCGATGGAGACTCAGAAATTTCACGTGACTCTCAGTCTGTATTCAACTGCCAATAGCACAGTTTGAAAACGATACCACGATGTCGTCCAAAAGTACCGTGCGACTGATGTCGCCAACGTCGAGTACGCTGCGACGGACCTTTACCTTGGCGTCATCAATTATTTCTACTATTCTGCGGCTATGCCAATATACATACAACTCGATTGATAGATCGAAAGATCCACCTCAGGGGATCTGCACCATCTGCGACACCCCAGAGTGAAAGCTCCACCGTTGTGAATTGTCTCCATTCGACCACGTGGTCTGCATGAAATACCAATATCCCACACTGAAGAACACGTATGACTCGGGGTTGTGCCGAATGGCATCCGCCCTGGTCATCCCATATATACTGGTTGGCAAAATTTCGATTTCATCGTACTTATCCTTGTAGGCTTCAGTTATGATTTCGTCGGGGTTCTCAAGCAGTAGTTGCTGACGGACCCAAAGGTCTTGATGCGAGAAAGCATTAGCTAGCGAGCCATATAGCATCAAGGTGATTCAATCCCGTGAAGGTTGCACTTACACGTAACGTCAGGGGTGGGATCATTGCCCAGAACCAGGTGAAACAATTCATGGTAGAGCGTTGCGCTGCGCGGAAGGACGTCCGTCAGTTTCCTCCCTCCCCTCTGCCCGACAAGAGGACTCTTGGACCCAAGCTTCACGCTATATCCCGGCTCGCTAAAGGACCCTGGACACAAGGTGATCGTGGGCGGCGTGGTCATATGCTGCGTGGTGCCCATGTTGGCACCGCGCGCCACGGTGCAGAAGGTTTGCCCATCATAGTCATCGTCTACGAGGTACTGGCCCAGGTCGGCGGACCAGTAAGGGATTCGCTCGTTCTTGATCCAAATCATCTGGTCCTCGTCATAGTCCCAGAAAAGGTGCCTGTACTGATCGCAGTTTTCGATCGCGAGGAGATGCTGTTGCCCATTGTCGTCCATTGTCCAGATGTCGTTGCCTTCTATGTCCCGGGCAATGTCTGTCCGTGCACGCTTCTTGAGCCAGTTGTCGTTGCAGTACAAGCGTGGTGTGTTATCAAGTGTCGTTCCCGAGAGGAAGTTGGACACTTTCTGTAGAGAACCTGGAAGCAGACCCTGTTAGCCATAGCCATCCTCAACCGGAGATTTGGTGGAGTCTTGTACCTTTGATAAGCGCAAGCGCTGTCGCATCATTCTCTCCAACACCAAAGTACGCCCGGAGGTATCGCTTGGCGACATCGTGCTGGGCAGCAGAGGAATCCTGCGCATGCGTGATGGCCTGCAATCCGGCGGTAGCTAGGTCTTTGCTTTCTTGCAAATACTGCGCGAGCAATGTCGATCTTTCGCTACAGCCACCTGCTTCATCGTTATCGAGATTGACTTTGAACAATGAGCCGATTGTCTGGCCCGCAGCAAGGGACGCCGCGGAAAGCAGCCCGCACACGACAATTGGCTTGAGCTGCATCTTGGATTTGGTCTTCCTATCTCCGGAAAATGCAACAGCAGCGAGGAAGAAGATTTTGACCTGACCAAGTGATCTTTCTGTTCTGGTTGCCCCTGAAAGCCGGCGGAAGCATCCATATCCACTAGTCGCCGAGGCGAGACTGCGCGAGATTAGTAGTAAATTGCATACAACATACTAGTCTACCACATGCAGTGGTATCTGCAAGCTAATAGGGCCCCACAAATGGGGTCTATGTCCACAACATCAGAGCTGCCTCGGCAACGAACCAGGGTCACTATCCCTATCTATATGATCCATATCTACCGGACCATTTGCCATCTCCTATGGAGTGATAATTGGTACTCCTCAAACGCCGCTTCTCTCTGCCACTAGGACCAGAATGCCTTCCATGCACCCCCTTTCCCTCCTCACCGCCATCTTGGCCTCGGCGCTGGCCGAGTCCTCTTCGTCCTCCTGCTGGGACACCATGCACAACTCGACCCTCGCGGTCTTCAGCAGCGCCCCTATCGCCTTCAGTCTCGACCGTGCTACCGCGTTGCAGTGCCAAGCGTGGTGCGGGCAAGTCTCCAACTGCCAGGCATGGGTGTTTGTCGACCAATTGCTGCAATGCGACCTCCACCGCGCGGCCCCGGTGAACGTTCTTCCCGAGACCAACGGATTCGTCTTCGGTGGCTGTGACCCTTCCGGCGCGGTCCTGGATTTGCCAAGACTAATATACGCCGAGACTATGGTCGAGGGCGCAGCCTCGACTCCCACTACCCAGGCTAGTGCGATTTCACTCGCCAGCAGCTCGAGTGGTGCTACCCCGGAGAAGACTCACGGGGTGCCCGAGTCGGTATGTCTCTGTTAGCTTCCCAGCTGTGACCCAACGGTTGACTGACTCCTGTTTTTTTTTCTCGATTCTAGATTCATCCGAAGGTGAGGCGCCATGGCCACTCGCGCCATTCGCGAAATCACTGGCACTAAGCCAGGCGGACGACAGCCCAGAGGCTCAGGGGCGTGATTGGAGATACGGATACCGTGTGGGGCCCATGTCATGCGGGACGTACGGAAAGTGTGGTTTGCATGGAGAAGTATGTTAAGCGAGGTGGTATTTGGGGGCTAGTTTTTGTTCCAGTAAAACCCTTGGCAACTTTAGCGTATCAGTTGAATATCCGTACCGAGGTACTCTCCATTGAAGACCCACACTGCTTGAGAAACCGTAGATATGGGCTCGAACAATCGCTTGTCATTCTTGGAAATCGGGGATAGATAACCCCCAATGCCGGCGAACGGTGATTCAGGGACACATGGGTGGATACTGAGGGGCACCGGCGTCGGCCGGATGAACAGGGTCTTTCCAGATAGGTATCAACTCCGGAGACTAGCCCTAGTACATACTCCACACCGGTATCTATACCATCAGTAGCGTCGTCGATGGTCAAATTGCTGTTCCACGGACGTAATCGTCCCGGATTCAGGGGGGATTCAATATAGCGGGCTCATTCGAAACCTGGATACCGGCAGAAAGATCCAGATCAGGCCCCAGAATGGGCTGCCATATATACAAGAAGAGAAGCTCGCCAAATTTTGACTTCTTCCCCCTGTTCTCATTCTTGTTTAGCGCCCTCCGCCATGGTCTCCTTGCTGGCTTGGGCCACGGTGCTGCTGCTCGCCTGCCGAGTGCAGCTGCAAGTACAGGCAGCGGCCGTCTTCGCGCACTTTATGGTTGGCACTCCGCCGTATTCTCTGTCGTCTGTTCTCGCTGACCGTGCAGGTCACAAACACGGCCAACTATACTTCTAATGACTGGGAGAACGATATTCTTCTGGCGCAGGATGCGCACATCGACGCATTCGCCCTCAACATGGCGTATGCCGACTCGACGAACACGGGTGCCCTCGCTGCCGCGTTTTCGGCTGCCGATAGTCTCGGCTTCAAGCTCTTTTTCTCCTTTGACTACGCAGGTAACGGCGACTGGCCTAAAGCCGACGTGATCACCCTCATTCAGCAGTACAGTGCTCACTCGTCCTACTACTTCTATAAGGGACAGGCCTTTGTCTCGACGTTCGAAGGCCCTGGACGCGCCGACGACTGGCCCGAGATCAAGGCGGTCACCGGCTGCTTCTTCATCCCCAGTTGGTCCTCGCTCGGAGCCAAGCCTGCCGTGGCGACGGGGGTCGTGGATGGTCTGTTCAGCTGGGCGGGCTGGCCCTGGGGCCCCCAGGACGCGGACACCTACGTGGACGCCTCGTATCTCCAGTATCTGGAGTCGCTGCCGTACATGATGCCGGTCTCGCCGTGGTTCTTCACCAACCTTCCCGGGTACAAAAAAAACTGGATGTGGCGCGGGGACCACCTGTGGCATGATCGATGGCAGCAGGTCCTATACATTCAACCGGAGTTTGTCGAGATTATCTCGTGGAATGACTACGGTGAGTCGCACTACATCGGCCCGCTGTACGACTAGGCCATGGAAGCGTTTGAGGTCGGCGAGGCCCCCTTCAACTACGCGACAGAAATGCCCCACGACGGCTGGCGGGCAACGATCCCCTTCTGGGCCGATATGTATAAGGATGGAACGGCCGAGGTGACTGAGGAGACGATTATCGCCTGGTATCGGCTTACCCCCGGCGCGGCCTGTGACAGCGGCGGCACAAGCGGCAATACGGCCTCCCAGCTGCAGGTTGAGTTCCCCCCGGCGGAGATAGCCTAGGACCGTATCTTCTTCTCCGCGGTGTTGGGCTCGTTCTCGGGCGCCGTAGTGTCGATTGGAGACTGGACCCAGACGGTTGGGTGGTTCGATGTGCCGGATGATGATGTCGGGGTATACTACGGCGATGTAGCCATTGGCGCCCATCGGGGTCCGGTGACTGTGTCTTTGATGCGTGATAATGTGATTATTGCGACGATTGAGGGCAAGGCCATCTCGTCGACCTGTGAATATGGAGTTCAGAATTGGAATGCCTGGGTTGGAAGTGCGTCTACCGGGGAGACCGTGTCGGCACGACCGACCCGTCTTCTGTCAGAGCAGGTCTGCATGAACGGTACCGGCGCGAATAATTTTGCCGGACTGTGTGGGTTTGCCTGCCGATACGGATACTGTCCTCTGGGCGCCTGTACCTGCACGCGAATGGGCATCGGGTACGAGCCGCCCAACTCCACGGGTGTCCTCGGATACCCGATTGTGGGCGAAGGCGCGAGTTACAGCGGACTGTGCTCGTTTGACTGCAACCTGGGCTTCTGCCCCGAGAGTGCCTGCGGCACTGTGGAGGTCCCGCTCAGCACGCCGACAGTCTCGCCGTTCCTGCCCCCCGCCTGTGTGTCCGGTTCGGGTGAGGGCAACCTAGCTGGGCTGTGCGACTTTGGCTGTGCCCATGGCTTCTGCCCCATGAACGCGTGCACCTGCACGGGGCAGGGGGCGCTAAATGTCATGGATCCGACAAGCGAGACCGTTGGGACCGCCGCACCGGGAGTAGACGCTACCGTCTACGGTCCTCTGTGCGAGTACACTTGTCAACGCGGATACTGTCCCGAAGGCGCCTGTATCGTCGCCGAGGACTCGGACTCGGGCTCGGGGTCCGGGGATGGACCAGGCGATGGCGAGGTCTACATTGCCCCGTCGATCTGGAATATGCCCTCGCCGGTCGTGCAATGTGAGCCTCCGTGCTCGCTGATCATGCCTCCGCTGCAGCTGGCCAGCCCTTCTGTAATATCCATCCCTCCCTGGGAGAGCCCCGTCGAGCAGAGTTACTTGACGACCAGAACGACTACCTATGACGACGGAGTCGTCGAAACATACAATGGCTATGCGGTTGCCACCACCACCATTACCATATCCTTTCCCCCTTGTACGTGTTGAGCCCTCCTCCCCAATCCACCCTCACTGACAGTCCATCATCAGCGGTCGTCACCGAGATCCCCGTATGGGGAGTGACCATCAATGCCAGCCAGGCTCAGCCAACCGAGTTGGAAATGACGAGGAGCATCACCCTGCCCTATATGGTATGGTCGCTTCCCCCGTTCGATGAAGACCCCAACGCGACAAGCATGACGGGGACGGTCCTTCCGCCCCCATATCCATGGTCCCAGGCCAGCAAGGACTCCGAGCTCAATACCGCGACCACCACCTGGTCGTCCGGCAGTGCGACTCCCACGGCAGATAGGGGTAACCCGGACGTCGGCGTCTCGTGTAAGCCATTCTGCCACCTGTGTCTCTTGTGCCGCCCAGACTGGAGCGGGGGCGGCGGCGGGGGCTCCGACGATGGCAGCAACAGCAACAGCAACAGCAACAGCAACAGCAACGAGGACGAGTGCAGCACGCGAGAGGCGGAGATTTGCTCTACCGTGTGTGTGGCCGGGTCCGGGTGCGAGTTCGACTGCTCCACGACCACCGGCTGTTCCGTCACGGCCTCGGCCACCAGCACCGTGGGCACGCCCGCGCCCGCCGTGGCCATCACGCTGGAGCAATGGCCTGAAGCCACCGAGGAGCCCGATGCAGAGGTGACCAGCATCGCTCGGTCGCTCGACTCCCGGCTCTCCTCCCTGTATGGAGACCTCACCGTCCTAACGGGATACGAGGATGGAGCCGCCACGGCCACGGCCACCAGCACCAGTCGCGCGACCACGACGACCAGCGCCCCCCCGGACCTCCCAACCTCACTTTCCGACCTCCAGTTCGTGATCTTCCTGCGCAAACCCGCCGACTCCCTGGACTCCTGGACCTGGTCCGGCTACCTCCTCCCGACGTACTACGACGAGGAGTACGTGTGCAACAACGCGTACGAGGTTGTCACGAGCACCGATAATATCCCAAATCAAACGGATGAGGACTCCGACTACGGATACCCGATGTATCTGGGTCCGTTTGCCGCGCAGGATTTGAACTGTGGGTATGTGTCCCAAGGCCTGACGCCGGGCGACGTGCACTGCGGCACTCAGGTACTGACGTGCCTCGAGCTTGATGCGCTGCATGCTCTGGGGTATCCGGGGTATACTTGTGGGAATACGGAGTTTTACATGCAGGCTTGGTGCCCGATGGCAGACTAAGGCCGGTGGTTGTGTACCATAAGACTGAATATTATTGCGTACGAGAATCGGCGTCGTCATGTAATGTGGTTTACCCCATCAGCTTTTCGTGCCATGGAGTTGGTTTTCCCGCAGAAAATATCCCAAAGCGGTAACTTTCTGCCCTGGTGGATCCAACTTCTTCTGTGCGGTCCAATATTATTGGCATCCACGAATATGAAGCATTTGGCACCATACAAATTTAATTATCTCAACTTTTTCAGGTGGTTTACTGGCTCTCTCCGTCATGCATGATGCATGAAGCAATTTGAATTAATTCTACCACCACCAATAATAAACACGGTTTAATTCCAAAACAGTCATTTAGATACTATATGGTAGAGAGTAGCCAATTGATTAAGGGCATTGTTGCTTATGCCCCCCCCCTTGGATGCTCACACCCTCCCCTGCCTTAAATTTCAGTACCGCCTTCCTGATCGGGTACCACTCAGAATACTTTATTTTTTCTGCCATGTATTCTGCCTACTTCTGGTTTATATAGTAAAAAGACATGCATTTTGATTAGAAAAAATCGTATATTCAACCTGATTTCTATAGAATTCAACCCCTTGCTGGATGAGCAGTTGATATAGGATGTGACAGAAGTGACTTAATTTTGGTAGGGGTTTACATACAAACCATAGGTACCTGCTGTCTTGCTACTATCATATATGCCGTTTAGAACAAAAGCGGTATACAAATTAGGAGGCGGTGAGGAGAGCGGTAGGCAGAAGCAAGTATCGAGGTAAGTGCTTAACCAAATTAGGAAGGCGGTACTGAAAATTCAGGCAGGGGGGTGGGGGTGAGCAACAATTCCCTTGATTAAATGCGACCGGCAATTCATCATAATTGTAGTAAAATAGAATTAAAAATTCTTTATTGTTGGTGGTGGTGGTACCATTTGAATTACATACTCCATGGTGATGGCTTTATATTCATATATGACGGAGAGAGCTAGTAAAGCACCTGAAAAAGTTGAGATGATTAAATTTGCATGGTGCCAAAAGCTTCATGATCATCATAGGGCCTGGTTAATCCGTCCCGGCATCATTTAGATAACTACCTAAAAGCGGTCTAAGATAAGGCCAAAATCCAGGCATCAAGGCCCAATCTGCTGTCGGAGCGAGAAATACACCAGTTATTCTTACTGAGAAGGTGTGCACCTTTTTGGCCTAGTGGTAACGTGGCCTGTTTTTCTCCGACATCTGGTGAAAACGACCCCTCTTTCCTGCCGCCCCGAGTAAAGTACCAACAACCTATGTCGGTCAAAGCGAATATTTCAAGACAGAATGAGCACCATCGAGCAGTGTCCTGCTGAGACAATTGATAATATCGTCTCGTTTCTCAACTTGCGCGATATTTGCAATCTCCGCCTCACGAGCCGCGGTCTGGCACTCAGGGTCTTCGGAGCCCCGTCTTTCGGATCCCACCTAGAGCAAAGACAGGTCGACGTTACGGAGCGCAGCCTCCGGGCCGTAGCCGAGGCAACAGCAAAGCCCGGCCGACTAGGTTGCTTCATTAGCGACTTGGTACTGGTCGGCGTGGTGAACAACACTAAATTCCTCACGCAAGAGGTCAAGTATACTACAGGGGACGCAGGACATCGCGCAAAGCAGCAGCAGGACCTCGAGATCCTGACTCGACGGCAAACAGAGTATGAAACCCTACATGCGTCTCGCGGTGATATTCTCCTGCTGAGTCAGATATTCCGCAACCTCATGGCCCATGGTAGGCGCCGGGGTCTCCGCTCCTTATCCCTGACAGTCGTGGTGTATCGCGAGGACGCGCAGACGAGACTGCTCCCCAAAGACGGGTTCGGCTGGACCCTGATCTGGCAGGCTGCCGCCGACACGTTCCTTACGGCGCTGGCGGCATTCGCGGCAAGTGGGATCGCGGTACAGCGGCTCGACGTCTACAACAGTATAGAGCGGTGCAGCCTAGCGTGTAACGAGCCTAGTGCCGTGAACTTTGAATACAATATGCTAGCGACGTCACTCGCGTCGCTGAAAACACTCGCCGTAAGCTTTTCGGATCGGGTTATCAATGAAAGGACAGAGGATCTCGGCCTAACAGGCGACCCATCGGACACGTGGGACGAGCATTTGGAAGATGAGTTGAGGGAACGTGAAGATATAGAGAATGAGGTGTATCAGGATTCGACGTTTACTGGCCTCCCCGCCCTGGTACAACGCTGCCGGGGGCTCGAGAGTCTAGAACTCCATCATTATCAACTTAAGGATCTGATCCTCTCGGAAGAGGATCTGATCTTCTCGGGACTCAACCGGTACCGTGAACGATTCTTCCCGTACATAGCCGAGATGATCCCGCTACCTCCCTTGAAGCGCGTCGTTCTCCGCGGATTACGGGTGAGATCAGCAGATATACTAGCCTTTATACAGAGGCTACAGCCAACTTTAAGAGAGCTATCGCTGCAGCACGTGATTCTCCTCGACGGGGCAAAGTTCGAAACTATCTTCGGCTACTGCATATCTGAGGAGGCTGGCTTGGAGCGGTTGTACTTGGACCATTTGCTGGAGCCAGTAGTGATGGCTAGTGGCGCGTACAACTACCGTCGACTGGTCTACTTTACCGGGGAACCTAACCAGGAGCCTAAGCTCCGGCGCAGGGACCTCCCACACCGCGGTAGTAACACAGTGGATAGGATAGGTGCAGCACAAATCAGGCGGCCTATTCCGTACTTCTCAGTCTCTGTCCCAATGAGAGAAAGGGGCAATAGGCTTGGCGCCCATTATCCGCACAGCAGGCCTTACTTGTCTCTATGTCTTTACGGGCAGCGGGATTATGGACCCCCATGAGTCGGTACAGTGATGTGGCATGTGTATATATAGTATAGCTTAGATAGTCGATTGTTTTGATAGAGCACTTCAGGGCAGTATCAATCTCAGCGAGGGCTACAAGGATATAGGATTGTTTCTCAGTGGTTTACTATAGAGGTTTAGAAGTAGACTATAGACGTACTAAGTCAGCGCCACGGGAAGTGTCTTTCCTTTAAAACTGGGCAGTTTCACATAAGCTTAAGGGGGCGAAGCATGGGAATGGCTTTGTCAGGCCCGTTGGTGGGCGGTGATGGCGGTGAGGGAGTTCGGTGCTCAAATCCCCACTGGACATACGTCGATGGAGACTCAGAAAATTTCCCGTGAGTTTCAGTCTGTATTCAACTGCCGATGGCACAGTTTGAAGACGATACCACGATGTCGTCCAAAAAAGTACCGTGCGACTCATGTCGCCAACGTCGAGTACGCTGCGACGGACTTTTACCTTGCGGCTTCTGCCAGCGGACCCAGCTTACCTGCAGACGTGAATACGTCCGGAAAAAGCGCGGTCCGAAACATGGCAGTGGAAAGAAGATAGAAGCACTAAGGGCTGCTCAATCACATGTCAAGGAATATAATCATAGCGCCTGCCAACCAGTGGAAGATCTCCTATCTCCAGAGAATTTGCCACGGCTGATGAGACGCTGTGTTGACGTCTATCTACGTCAGATGTACCCGATCATGCCTCTTTTCAGACCATCTATTCTAATCGAATGGCTCAATCGACCGATGGAACGAAATGAGCAAACTATGTTATTTGCGCTATGCGCATTGGTCACCGCGTTTATGTGCGGTCGCAGCGAATCCATTATCGGGTGCGGAGAATGGGCATCAGTCGCGCATCGGTTGATAGAAAAGAGCAATTCGGTGCGGTCTGAATATAACTTTATCGGGGACAGCACTGTTTTGACGCTTCTAGCATCTTTCTTTGTCGGAGTTACGCACTTTGAATTGCATAATGCTCGGCAAAGTTGGTTCTACCTCCGCGAAGCTATAACCTTGGCGCAGGCACTTGGCTTGCACACGGACGAGTTCTACTGTGGCATGGATTATGTGAGCGCTCTGTACTGCCGTCGAATTTACAACATTCTGTTCGTCACGGAGAGATCTTTCGCGGTAGCAAGACATAAACCGGTCCTTCTACCTCGCCCGTTGCTTTTTCCTGCTCCCGGGCCGAACGATCAACTAGAGGGCCTGGAAGAACAGCCAGAAATTGACGTCGGATTCCGCCAGCTTGTGCACGTTTATTCGCAGATCGATGTCAACTTTTTGGACTTCTGGAGTGAAAAGGAGACAATCGGCACAACCCATTCGACATGGAACCTTTTTTGCTCAAAGTTGCTTCCGGACTGCGTTGTGATGTCTGACGCTCATAAAGCTGATATCTTTGTGACCCAGCACTGGCTTGACCTGGTTCTATGGAGAGCGGCCCTTCGGCAGGGGTTACTTTCTACCAAGGCGGGATCACGGTCTAGGACGTTTTCTTATCCACAGGATGTTGCGTTATCCTTACTACAGACATTGACATCGCTCTCTAAAGAGTCAGTGGCAGTACATGGACTAGGGATTGTATGTGTCACAACCTGTTTCTACATTCGCCTGAGCTGACCGTACGTACCAGTTCGAAAAAATATACGACGTAGGCAACACTCTGGCTGACTTCATGCATTGCTCAACAAATTTGACAGGCTGGACAGAGGCAATGTCACAGAACATGGACCGACTAGACTCAATTCAAAAACAGCTCTCTCTAAGTCCAAACTCCCACGATAAATTCGCCCTGTCTCTAGGAGGACGATTGGCTGAGTATTCTATTTTCTTTGGTAGCCCTTTTACCATGTATAATTTGGTCATTAGAGACGAAGATGTGGAAGACCAACGGGATGCATACACCCTGGAATGAAATATTTATAGTCATGTGTATTTAATGTGAATACGGTCATCTTAATTGTGGATTATGTACAAACATGTCTGATCCCAAAATTCTCAGTTAGTAACAACCAAATTGTTGTCATAACTAACTACTTGCGGCGAAACCTTCGCTGAAATTCTCGGAGAGATCCCGGGGAATTGTTGGCAGATCACCCCGGATCGTCGAGCCAATCGCTGAATTGCTCGCTGAATCTCTCGCTGAATTAAGTCTCTCGGAAATTTAGACCAGGAATTTGATATCAAATTATAAATATCCTTCCAGAGTGTGTCCAAAAAAACTGCATGCCGAATCCATGCCGAACAGTTGAATCATGGCCTTTCCGACTAATTCTGTCGCCAACCCTCGGGCCGTCATTTCTGGTCCGAAATATCGCTTTACCATTCTGACCGATTTCTTGATTCGGTACGAGTGGGCTTCTGATGGATGTTTCGAAGACCGAGCGTCAACTTTCGCCATCAACCGGCACTTTCCGACGCCCCAATTCCGCGTCGTCGACAACGATGGTAATCTCGAGATCATCGCCGACAATTTCCACCTATGTTACGATAAGCAACGATTCTCCCCTGCTGGACTGAACGTCCATTTCAACTTCAAATATACCAACTGGGGGGCTCCATGGCAGTATGGACTCGATGAGGAGCTCAATTTGGGAGGCACAGCTCGGACCCTTGATCTTTGCGATGGCCGTTGCGATATGGGAAAAGGAGTGATTTCCAAAGCAGGATATGCGGCCCTCGATGACTCAACATCTATGCTCTTCGATGGAGACTTTGTGGCGGGTCGGAAACCGGGTGATCGTATCGATGGATACCTTTTCTGCTACGGTCATGACTACAAAGCGGCGATGAAAGCATTCTACTCAGTGTCCGGCAAGCAGCCCATATTACCCCGATATGCTCTAGGCAACTGGTGGAGCCGATACTATGCCTATCACCAAGACGGGTATGTTCAACTCATGGATGAGTTCCGTGCACGCGATATTCCCATGTCAGTTGCTGTGGTCGACATGGACTGGCATCTCGTATCAGACCCTTCTGTACCCCATGCCGGATGGACCGGCTATACCTGGGATAAGAAACTCTTCCCAAATCCCAAGCAGTTCCGACGTGATCTGCACGAGAGACATCTCAAGATCACCCTGAATGATCATCCTCACAATGGAATTCATTCCCATGAAGATGCATACAAGGAAATGGCCAAAGCTCTGGGTCACGATACCGGGGAAAAGAGGCCAATTATTTTCGATCCCTCTAACCCCAAGTTCATGAAAGCGTACTTCGAGATCCTGCATCGTAATCTGGAGAATACCGCATGCGATTTCTGGTGGATTGACTGGCAGCAAGGCCCGTACTCCAAAGTTCCTGGCCTCGATCCCCTTTGGCTTCTGAACCATTTCCACTATCTCGATCATGGACGAGATGGCAACACCACTCCCCTTATCTTTTCCCGGTACGCCGGGCCTGGAAGCCAGCGATACCCAGTGGGATTCTCGGGCGATACAGTGGTCACCTGGGATTCGTTGGCCTTCCAACCGGAGTTCACCGCAACAGCGTCGAATGTAGGTTACGGGTGGTGGAGCCATGATATTGGCGGCCATATCTTTGGAGGCAGAGACGACGAACTCGTTACTCGATGGGTCCAGCTCGGTGTCTTTTCGCCCATTTTCCGTCTGCATTCTTCTGATTCGAAGTGGAATTCTAAAGAGCCGTGGATGTATCGCTCGGAGTACAAGAAGGTCATGTCTAGCTTTATGAGGTTGCGACATCGACTGGTACCATTCCTGTATACATGCAACGTTGTCGGTTCTATCGAGAATGAGCCTTTAGTGCAGCCGATGTACTGGATGTTTCCGGACTCTGATCAGGCGTACGTGTTTCCCAATCAGTATATCTTTGGCTCGAAACTCTTGATTGCTCCTATTGTCGATCCTCGGGACAAGACGACAAACTTGGGGGCTGTCAAAGCATGGCTGCCACCCGGTCCCCGGTTTGTTGACATATTTACTGGCCAATTGTATGACGCAGACCGGGAGATCACATTTTACCGGAGACTGGAAGAATACCCTGTTCTGAGCCGTGAAGGAACTATCATTCCTATGGATGCCAGCCCAGCGCCCGGAAACGGTTGCTTGAATGTGGAAGCGTTCGAGTTTCTTGTTGTCATCGGCAACGATGCTGAAGCCATTGTTTTGGAAGATTTTGAAGACGATGCACCCAATTCGACGGCAGGCCAGGGGCAACGGAAATTTGCTGTCCACTTCAACCAGGCTGACGGAAAGCTGACCGCCGAATCAATCGACCGGCCCTCGAAATTCCGATTTGTGTCGTTGACGTCCATTCCGGACAACTTGAAAATTTACTGTGACGGCATCGACCGGACGAAAGAGGTTAAAGTGTCCGTCGAGGAGGGCTGCCAGGCCCCTGGTCTCGTCATTGAATGCTCATTCTCCAAAATTGGTCACTGCATCACTATTGAACTCGGTCCTAATCCTCAGCTCAGCGTGATGAATCCGATGCGCCGTCTCGAGCCTCTGATTATGGACTATCAATGTGAGTTCGAGATTAAAGACAAGTTGTGGAAAGTCGTGGCAGACCACATGAAACGTGTTAACGCTATGATTGGCACGCTGCTATCGCTTGGGTACGATGACTCTATCGTCGGTCCTGTGTTTGAGCAGCTGTTGGCAGATAGTCGGCTATGTTCGCCTTTTGCTAAGCGGACGTAGGCCGACGGATCAGCTGTATGCACCTCAAAGGGTCTTAAGTGTATTTTGACTAAGAAGTTCAATTTATGATGCACGTTTTATCCTCAGTGTAATGCTTGTATTTTCTACAACAGGATAGACTGACGAGTAAGATCATGGTGTCTACGCAGAAAACTGATAGAAAGATCTGTTTAAAGCAATCAATGAAGTATATTTGATTGCAATCTGCCATGATGATGTCCTCTAAGCAATCTAAGTACGAGTATCTAAAGAGTAATATATCCCAGCCCTAAACCAAAAAGACTCTTCCCTCAAACGCATGCAAGTCCTCATTGTGCCCATCTACATTGCTAGCCAACAATTTCCAATTTTCGCTCTTCACGGAATCAGGTTTCTCAAACTTCTGTGTTGTATTTGAGAAGTTGAGAACAACCAAAATGGTCTGGTTGTGATTTGTCTTAGTATAGGTGAAGACACTCTGATTTGGCTCGTCGAGGATCTCAAACTCTCCAAAGACCAGGAGATCGGCATACTCTTTTCGCAGCTGATTCATCTGTTTCCAGAAGGAAAGAACAGAAGATGAGTCTTTCTCCTGGAGCTTCACATTGATCTCAGGGTAATTGTCATGCGGGCGCATCCACGGCTTTGCCGATGAGGCCGGTGAAAAGCCAGCATTGGCATCAGCACTCCACTGCATGGGGAGTCTGGAATGATCTCTCGCCAAATGCTGCAGAGCATCCATCGCCTTGCTCAACTCGGCTGGGTCGTTGCCGGATTTTTCGCTTATCATTCGATAATAGTTGATGCTATCTATGTCTTTGTATTCGTCAATCGTCCACTCCCGAGGCGCGTTCACCATTCCAATCTCCTGGCCCTGGTAGATAAACTGCGTGCCGGAGAGAGTGCTTTGCATCATAGCAAGCATCTTTGCAGACCGAACCCTCAACTCGGGTGTCTTGTCAGAGCCGAACCGACTCACAGACCGGCCCTGGTCGTGATTTTCCATGAACACTGTGGTCCATGCATCAGTGTCCTTGATGATATCTTGTGTATTTTTCACGGCGGCTTTTAGTTCTCGTAGATTCCAGCCCGGAAAATTGGTCTGGAACTTATAGTCCTTGCCCTGGCCGAGGTCCACGATGTCGAATTGGAAGACCATGCTCAGCTGCTTCTCTGCCGCTGAGACATAGCTCAGAACCCCTTCCAAGGTATGCGTGTTTGGCAATTCACCAACGGTCATTGCATCATATTTGGAAAGCACGTCGTTCATCTCGCGCATGTACTCGTGGATGCGAGGACCGTTGCAGAACAGCGAAAAAGCCGGCTGTGTGTCGGACTTTGGATCAAGGATTGGAGCATTGGGATAGTCGGGGTGCTTGCTGTACATGTTGACCGTATCGACGCGGAAGCCATCCACGCCCTTCTGCAGCCAGAACTCCATCGCATCCTCGTAGACTGCCTTGCGAGTCTCGGGGTTCTCCCAATTGAGATCGGGCTGCTCAACACAGAACAGATGGAGATAGTATTCTTCTGTTGTCTCGTCCCACCCCCACGCACTGCCACCGAAAACGCTGCGCCAGTTATTTGGCGGCTGACGATTTCCATTCGCGTCGTATTTAGCTGGCTTCCAGATGTACCAGTCGCGCTTGGGGTTTGTCTTTGAAGAGCGGGACTCTTTGAACCATTTGTGCTGGTCTGATGTGTGATTCACGACTAAGTCCAGGATAATCCGAAGTCCTCGCTTGTGGCATGCGTCAATGAGGGTATCCATGTCCTGGACAGTACCGTATGGGCCATATACGCTTTTGTAGTCGGCAACATCATAGCCCATGTCAATCTGCGGGCTGTCGTACATGGGACACAGCCAAATTACATCCACACCAAGGCTTGTGATATAATCGAGGGATGAGATAATCCCTGGGATGTCGCCAATGCCATCGCCATTAGAATCTTTGAAGCTGGCGGGGTAAATTTGGTAGATGATGGAGTTTTTCCACCACTTTTCGGCCACTATAGAGGGAGACATGGTGAATTTAAGGGATTTAAATGCAAGGAATAGTGATAGAAGAAGAAATATAGGTCCAAAATACGAAAAACTGGGGAGGCTATATATACGTGTCTAAAGCATTCGATTTTTGATTGTCATTGCACTACCTGCTCGACTATGGAGTCTCCGATATCACGTAGGGAGGGCCATTGCTCTCATTGACTCGATGTCGGGCCGACGATCATTTCAGCAGAATCATGTGCCCCTCATCTGCCTGCG